ATTTCCCAAGTGCTTATGAAAGACTAATTGAAATGCAATTGTAAATAAAATTTACTTTTCACAGCTGCTGTGGATTACGCTTGCTTTCGTTTCTATAACTGGGTCTATAAGATTGATTTGTTTACATTTAGTGGAAAACAAAACCATATTAAATTAAATTTATGAATCCAAGAATCGAAAAGAAATTTATAAGATTCATTACCATAAGTAGAAAACGAAAATACTACGGAGAATCCGTAGATGTGATTAGAGATAAACAAAATTTTAACAGTTATGAATAACTGTTACGAAATCACAGAAGTTAATATAAAAAAGCTAAATATTCGCCAAAAAGTGGTTTTTCAATCAGAAGAAAGGTCTTTTATAGAAAAGCCAAGTTAGACGTAATTATAAGGCTAAGTGTTAATGTGAAAGTAATCTTGATAAACGTATGAAACTATCCGTACTATTATTCCGACAGAAAATGAACTAAACGAAATGTACATGATATATTGATGAAGTGTTATCAGTTGTTACAATGTGAAATTAATTTTCTGAGGAATACTAAATTTGTTTTTGCTATTAATATACTTCTGTATTTTAATCTTAGTTCATAAATATTATAAACTAGAAAAAAACTGGCATTAGTCCCTAGAGCAGTGTTTCCCAAAGTGTGGTACGCGTATACCCCCAGGGGTACGGGTACAGTTTAGCGAGGGTACGCTTTCTTATGCGAAATATCTTGCAACATATGAAAATTTCGAAATTTTTTATTTCAAAACAAAACTAGTCATGAAAATTAACGATTACATATTTTTCTATTGGCTATTTTTTGCAGAGTTAACAGTTAATAATTAGTGGTGTCAACAGCCAGTTGTGATTTTAAACTTTTGTGCATATTTTATAGTAAAAAATACATTCATTTTTTTTTATTAGGGGTACACAGCGTTACGAACATTTTAGAAAGGGTACACAAAATTCATAAGTTTGGGAAACACTGCCTTAGAGTATTTGATGTACTTTAATGTATGAAATGCCAATGCTTTAAAAATGAATCGTAGAATCTAGAATCATAAAAAAAAAAAATGCAACAAGTCTTAGATGTCCAGTTAATGCCTATTAAACTGTCTTGTAAATCATGTAGAGAAATTTAGCTTCTGAGTTGTACCGCTGTTTAAAAATATGTGAGTTGTGAGGAAGTTTCTTTTCTTTTTTGGAAAAAAAAGTAACATCCATTGTTTTCTGAAAAAACTTTGGAATATTATGCTGGTTACGGTAGAGCACATATGAAAGCAAGGACAATTCGCCATGTCTTCGCTTCAAAAAAACAATGAAATCGCCATCTTCCGAAGAAAATAATTTTCATGATGCCTATATAAATTTCTTTGTTATGGTAATATATGGCAGGCGTAAGTTTGTTCTGACATAAAAAATACTTTTTTTTATAAAAACGATTTCAGCACGTGAAATAGTGAGGGAGGGAAAAAAGCTTTGTTGAAAATTATTAGCGATTATGTAAAACCAAAAATGATTCTAGAAATTACATAGTTGTGTAAAATAATCATTTCCGATATTTATTAGTTATTTGAATATTGTTCATTTATCGTGCACAACGTGCTAGCTATTTTTGCGGACATATTTTAGAAGACGTATGTTATTAAACATTCCACACCGAATATTTATAAGAAATTTAAAAAAGTTATGAATTTAAAAATTATGTATTAATAAATTTTTATACAAGAATGCATTACATTATAAATAAAATAAATTGTATAGCATACATTTTTAAAATTCTAATATAATTGTAAATATATGCGTATTTTAAACTTTTATGCATATTTTTACACATATTTTTTTAAAATGTTTTTAAGTGCAAGTCTGCGCCTTTTCTAGTCTTTTCAATATTGTCAATCTTTCTCGTAAGCCTTCTAACGAATTTTTAGAGAACGAATTTTCTGAACTTATTTTTTAAAATAAAAAATTTGAATCAAAATCAGGTTTAAGCTATTATATAACTGTCTAGTAGAATTAGGTGATATATAGTGAAAAAGCGATAGGCGATATATAGTGATTTCAAAAAGTATTTTTACATATATCGTGACTATCATGTTTTACAATAAATGTGGAATAAATTATAATTATTAGCGTTCATTTCGCGATAGTTATCAATATCGAAGGTAATGTATTCACGAGTACTATCAATAATGAGAATCATTATCGTCAAGGCTAAATACCTCCAGTATTACCGTTTATAATTATTATCGAATACATTATCGTCATTGTTGATATATTTAATTTGAATTCCAGAATAAAATATAAGTTTGAAAATTTAAAAAAAAATCTGATAAATCGTTCAAAATCGATATTTTCAGAGTTGTATCGTGATATTAAAAAATAAATATCGCTTATTGCTACTAAATATGAAAAAAAAAATTTAAGAAAAGTCCAGGGAAATTTCCGTGTCGTATCGTGATCTGTATCAGAATAATCGCCAAGTCTTGGAAATTCTCGGGCAGTGGCCCGTGAGAAACTAAGAAAAACATCACAGAAAGGGACCAACTCGAGAGGTATAACTCGTAGCGACCCCCGAGCAAACATCTACATGTTTTTGTTAAAAACATTTGCAAGTTTAAAATCTATTTGGCATCTTGGCGATTGTATTTGGCTCGACAGATCACGAAATATCCCCCAAAATGCCAATATTTCGTAAACTGGACAATTTATGACGTAATAATTGCTGATATTAAAATTGCGATATCGTCCAGCACTTCTGAAATGAAAATAAAACTGAAATGAATAAGACAAATATCGTGAAACATCGATATTTCCTGATGTTAAACCACCATATTACCACTTTATTAAGCTCCAGCGGCGTTAAACGTGAATAAGACTGATATAAGTTTCCAACTCTTACAATCTGATCTTTTCTTAATACGATATACCTGGTATCTTTAAACTTGACATCGAAATAACTCGAGAGCGGTTTCTACAGAAACATGAGACATAAACAACGATTATATTACAGCATGATCTCGATTTTTCTCTTCCGCAAAAGATACAGCAAGCCTTTCTTCATTCCTAAACGCAGATATCTTTCTCCAAGGGACGCAGAAACGTGATCCAACTCACAAGATTCTGTGGATAATAGAACATCCAACACACACATAGCGGGATTCGAACTTTTTAAGACTTTTTTTGTTTTGTTTTAATCATTCAGTGGATCTACCAGCAGGAAGAAAAGTTCTATTTTGTAAGCATTCAACCAGAGGTCAATAGTCGATCATACGGTGGGCGAAATTTCGTTAAAGGTTTTGACCGCGATGCATAAATGAAGGTGGGTCCCGCTGACAGCTCAGACCAATTTTAAACTGTTAGACGAATTAGGGACGCTGGATTTTATATTTGCGATAAAAGAAAACTTGACGCGACTTAGGGTAATAAATCTGATTGTATATTTGTTCCCTGTTTGAGGTTGGTCTCTAATTTTGACAACTGTTGTAGAACTTAAATAAGAAACACGATTTGTTTAAAAAGAAAAGTAGGTTGTTGGAGGTATTGATTTTGGCTTTAGTGATTTAAGTAAGCCGGGCTTTTCATTGTTTGTAGTTTTATAACGTTTTATTATTCTACTTGGAGACTCCGCCCCCTACTCGCTAACGCTCGCCATCCCCCGAGAATTGCTACGCAATCCTATGTGGTTCACGCCGTGAACCATGGCTCGCTCGGGATTCTTTAAATCAGTCANCCTTTTTTTGTGGCCCGCGAACTAAAATATATTAGTTGTCATATTTTGCGGACAATTTTCGTAAAAAATCTATATGGGTTTAAAATACTTTTCTTTCATTTAAAAAAACCTAATTTCTTCATTTCTGTGAAAGTTAACATACCAACGGTGCAAAAAAAAAAAAATTATTTCTCAGGTTTAGCATCCAAAAAAATATTTATTCAAATACAAAATTAATCCTGTGTGCTGCTTAGAAATCTACTTCTTATTTTAATTTGTAATTCAATACGTTTGTCTTGTACAACTTCATAAAAATCTGACAGAAATATTTAATGTTCCTTCAAACATAAAAGAGTCCTATATCAAATTTTGATGAAGTTGCGGCCCGCCATTTGACTGGTGTTTTAATTGCGGCCTCATGTAAGTTGGAAACCCCTGGTTTATACAAATTATTAAATGAAAAAGTTACGGAAAAAATAATTTTTTAACCTAATTATCACTCTTATTGAAATATCGTTTAACAATTGCTGAAACTTCTTACCCTACATTTTGACACAGGTTATTTTTTTATAATGTTCGACCATTTTAAATAAAATTTTTTTAGCCCTTCCACGTTACATCTCGTACGTATTTTCTACGCTATGCAGTTTCTATAGAATATAACATCAGCTCTCAAACAAGTTCGCGCAGAACATACGCACATCATCGTGCGGGAAACGATCTGGAAATTTTTCTGTATAGTGAAATATCACTGTATATAACAATTACAACTATAAACAATAATTGTAATTTATCGATACAGATATTTAAATAAAAGTTCCCCGACTATAAAATGATACCAATTTAAAAAATCCAACTATAATTTAACGATATAGGTATGTACAATTTATAAAATAAAGATAATCCTTTTCAATCTATAAGACTAAAGAAACGTGCCCATTGAAATTTCAAGATATCATGAACCTTTTAAATAGACCATTATAAAGCAACATTTGCCAAATGGTATTATTATTTAACCGCTTAGACATGATACACAATGCTTGTGAATAAAATAAGCTGTTAAGAAGGTAGATAAAGAAACCATCGGCATCATAAATGTTGATGGCTTATGCTGATCACTAAAGCCGGCATTTACAATCTTTAAATCTTCAATTGATGAGGATGGTCACATTCCTTCCGGGTAAAGTTTAAGTTGATGAAGCCATTAAACAAACCAGCATATATTAACCTTGAACTAAGTGACGGACAAGCCATTTGCTTTGTTGAACACCATTTTAATTGCTGTTCTTTTTTGTAGCTCGTGGTGGACAGGGAGATTAAAGATAAAATCCTAGAATTGTCTGTCTACTGTCTGCAGAAGAAGAGGGGATGCAAGAGGACTCTTATTCTAAAAGAACTAGAGGTAAGCGAACTAGGATGCCTTCTGTTGTTCTAATAACTCATTCCTTTTGGAATGTTTTGGTTCCTTCAGCATTCGATGCAGATATAATCCAGAGCCGCAATCTGACCTCTCCGCGTCTCTCATAAGTAAATAAATCTTGTTTGAAGAATGGTTATACATACTTGAACAATGGGTATCGTTTCTATTAAAGAGGTTCGTTTGCGTGAAGACAATGAGCTCATTTTTTCTCCATCTTCTTAGCCTTAAAAAGGAATTTAAGATGTAAGATGGGAAGTCATTATAGGGTATTCAAGTATCTTCTATGATATAATTCGTAAAAAGTTAGATCTAAAGATCTGGTTTAAATTAAGGATGAGATTCAAAGTAACATGAATACAAAGTGCCAACTGACGCAAGACGAATTAACCATCCGTGCTAATTAACATTACGTTAATTAATTTATAAGGTAATTATGTAAAAGATAATCACGTTCATTATCTTAATTGTCTGCTTTATACACATTTCAAAATGGCTGAGAGAAAAATATAATATCTTTGTTCCATTACTATTTTCGAAAATAAAGGCTAATAATAGCGGGAAATCTATCTTTTGTAAAATTATTTTTTCTAATATTATTCAATGGTGCATAAGGTAAGTTTTTCAGTTATGAAAATATTTTATATGCATTCTACTTCAGATATGATGGTGTGCAACCAAATCTACCTCCTTTTTTTTAACCAAAAATTTAAAATTTTCAACTCATCATTTGCTGTTTATTTATTGATGAATTATTTTTTAAGCAGCAATGTTCGAAGTTTTTAAGTGATTACAATGAAAATAGTCGGGAGTTTCACACTAGATATTTTTTATTGTGAATTGAAATATATTGTTATTGTTTAAAATGAATTGTAAGAAAAATAATTATAAAATATGAAAAAGTCAAAAATCTCAGATTTTTTTAAATTGGACCATTAGTTGGGTTTAAAGGGAATTTGAGGCAGGTAATTTTGCATTTTATCCCCTCCCCCCAAAAAAAAATCTATCGTTCGTAGTTTTAAGAATTTTTGTTTGCATGCAAAGTATTAGAATACACAATAATTGGGTTTACCCACTGATATAGGTGCCTTTCATGAACAGAAATGTTGGAGACCTTCAGTCTTTTGAATTTATTAGATACTGGTTAATTGGTAGATTTATGAACGCGTAACTTTATATTCTTTTTAAATTCCATTTTATGAAACACTAAAGTACCCTAAATTAATATCTTCCATTTCAATAAATCAAATTCTCAACGATGTTCATATGGTTTAATAAACTTAATATAAGGAAATATTGTTTGATGTCCAACTAATATTGCGGAAAATATTGTTGGCATAAGATTAGTTTATGCTTATAATTTAGTAATATTTTCCTGGTTTCAACGCTTCAGTTTTCTTAGGAACAAATACTTTTATAAGATTTAAAATTAGAAAAAATTATTCTATAATTTTTATCCGCGTCACTACTTTTTTCTTCAGCATCATCTTGAAACTTGTGGTTACGTTCCTGTGTCCTGTCCATGTAGCTGCGGCCTGCAAGTGACCAAGAGAGATCTAGCTCAGCATCTTACTTCTAACTGTGAAAGAAGATTAGTTCCTTGTTCCTATTGCCAAGAAGATGTCGTCTTCAAAGATATGGATGTAAGTTACTTAATACAATTTAACCATTGCGTTAACGAACTTTGTAGAGATGCTTATATCACAAAATCTGGAAATCAATCTCAAAATGAGTTTGACGCTTTTCATTTCAATTTTCTTTATTATTATATCGTATGAGCATAGAAAATCATATTGACTTGGAGTTGTCACCTTTCAAAAATTCACAAGCAGGCTCTTTTTTTTGAAAAAAATCATGGAGTAACATCATATAATTTTATCAAAAATTAGAAATTAACTGGAGCATATAAGTTGTGATCTATTTTTTAATCATATCTCTCTTTTAAAGACAAGTTGCCTTTCTAGATAGAATCAACTGAAATTTTTTTTCCAATTGAAATTTAAGGCATAAAATAGAATATATCAAGATGAGAGAATTAGCTTACAGCTTGCATAGTGAAATTAACTTAAGGGATTGAAATTGAAGTTAACAAAGTAAAAGTGATTAATCGATAAATTGGTAAAATAAGTGGTTGCGGAAGAGAATGTGTGATGAACAACATCACATAGCTTTAAGCATTATTTTTAAAATTAGATTATGTAACAACATTGATAAAAGTATACTAGATGTTAAAAGAAATTACTCCTGAATCATTCCTTTCTTTTTCAATATTTAAAGAAGAGTTAATAATGGTAACTTGACAACTAGGGGCCGTCTGCCCCACCAAAGTCTCTAGTTTGCCCACCGACAGATAAACCTAATGATTTTTTTCAGTTAGCTTTAGTTTCTGATAATTTTTCTTAAAAATTAGCGAGGAGGCCTGCTGAAAAATTATTTTGCATACGAATGAATTTCTTTTCACTGTTTTCTTTTTCTATCAAAGCTGCATTAAAAAACAAATGTCGGCCTATTTATAGGTAAATCGAAAAAATTTTTTCGGTCGGACTTGGTTCCTGATATTTTTTTAATAGCTAGTTGGCCGAGTAAAGAAAATATTTTACAATTATTAATTTTTCTATTACCTCGGTCAGTATTGTGATAAACTTTTTATTTATTTTTTACTATGAAAAATTATGGGTTGTAACTTTTTTTGCTTCTGCATTTGATAGAATTGATGCGCGTAAGAAGAACTGCTGTATTTATTTTCACGTTTTTACGAATTTTTCCTGAAAGGATCGGTTTTTCGTCGCCATAACTAAATTACGCCGAAATTGAAAACAGCACGCCCCCCCCATTTAACCCAGATTCTTCCAATCACATTAATTTTTGATTAATTGAAAATACAAAGTATTTCTTTAATCAAAAATATAATTCTTTTTTACAACGCTTACTGTTTGCATTATTGATGCGTTATTTTTACGCAGATAACAAAGATTAAAGTTGGGAGTTACAAGCCAGATATTTTTATTATCAATAGTAATATAAAATTTAAAATGAATTATAAAAAAACTAGGAGGCTTCGCCCCCTGCTCGCTGGTGCTCGCCAACCCCCGGAACTGCTTTCGCAGTTCATTTCGGATTGCTTCGCAATCCGATGCTCGCTTTGAATACGTTCTTAACGTCTAGCTTTTGTATACTTTTTTGAACACTGAAGTTCCGAAAACTTTTCACTGTAGAAAATTCTAAACCTGCACATTTCAATATTAATTTGAAATTGCAAACAGTTCACATATTTTTCTTAATCACACTATTCTAAATTTCAGTTGTAGAGATAAGTAACTGTTGTAAGTTTTGTTTTAAAGTCTTTCCCACCAGAGGGCTAAAACCATGTGCTGTAAAACGATATGAAATAGTACTGAACGCCGGGTGTAAAGCATCGGCTTCGATGAAGATAATTTTGTGAGAATTTTTTTGATAATTCGGTGAGGATTCACCCAATTAGACATATGATGCTCACTACGTGCTCTTGCGCGCCGAAGCCATAAATTAAAACGTATTAGCGTTTTATATAATATAGATTAGCCATATGATGCTCACTACGTGCTCTTGCGCGCTGAAGCCTAACAGTTAAAAATGAAAACTGTTGCCAGCGCGAGAAAAGAATTATCATCGGTTTTATTGATACATAGCGTTTTATATAATATAGATACTAATTAAATATAAAATATGAAAAAATTAAAAATGTCAAAAGTTTTTTTTTTAATTGACCATTTGTTGGGTTTATTGCGAATTTGAGTCTTGAAGTTTTGCATTCCCCTCCCCCCCAAAAAATATCGTTCTCTACATTATTATTTATTTATTTTTTTGTTCAATCTGAGAACTACGTAACCTAATTTACAAACATCTATTTTCAAACTCATTATAATGTACAGAAATAATTGTTTTTTCAGCAACACAATGACATCTGTGGAAAGAAGCCTGTCATATGCCCACACTGTAAAGCTGAAGTTAGAAGAGAACAAGTAAGTGTTAATATTAGAATTCATTCACAGTTCCGACGAACCGTTTCTAACAATTCATGCTTGTGATTTAAATAATTGACAGGTAATTTAAAGGTCGATATAATAGAATACAATCATGTTTTGCTTCATCTAAAATGCGTGAATAAGTTATTTGTTGGGTAATGAAAGGTATAATTAATTATTGCCTATTGTTCAAAAAATTTCTTTTAACTTTCATTGTAGTGTCCTTACGCATCGAATCAAAATGTCGCTCTATTTTATAATAATAAATAATTCGTTTCATTTTGCTATCAGTAAGGTTTGAATTGTGTTTTGACATAAGTCAGTTTAACTATTATTAAACGGTATTGTGATTTAGCATATTCATACTATGATCGAATTTGAATAATATTTTTGAACGTTATTGGTTAGTTCTGTTTTTTTTCTTCTTTTTAATTTATTTAAACGCTTTATCAAGGATTATTTATTAGACAAAAATTAATTCCAATGTTTTTTTTTAAATAATTGATCAATAAATAATCGAAGATCGTGTATTGATACATGGAGATTGTGTTGCTTTTCTCTTTTCTGAGCTAGTTTAAAATGTGGCCTATTATTATGAATAAAGCAAAACAGCACGAATAAAGCACATATAACGGTGCAGAAATAGAATACTACAGTTTTGATTTTATAAGCAAGATCCTTCCTCAGTGTTTAGACACAAAATGACAATAGAAAAGTAAAGAGACAAACACGTTGCAATAAGAAGAAAATGTAGTTTAATCTCGGCTGGTTAAAGCCGAGGAAGAGGAACAAGCTTGAAGCCAAAATAAGGGAATAAAAAACAGGTGTGAGGTGGGTATCCCAGGGTGCTAAATCTAGAAATTAAATTGAAATAGATTTTCAAACTATGGGAAAGAATGGAATACTAGAAAAGTACCCTCGTCGCCCTCCCATGGAACCCTTGTGTACCGTGGAACATCTTTTGGGTACCTCTGCTTTGGCTATTGAGAAAGTGGTCGAGTGTCTGGATAGCCAAGTTGGTAGAGCATTGGGCCCATGTTCAAGTGGTTGCGAGTTTGATTCCAGCTGTCCGAAGATTCCCTGTGTAGTAAATGGAGACTGGTACACGTTAAATTTGTCGGGGTCACAAAGTCCTAAGTTCTCATAACAAATTACACCTCTGCGGGTACTGAATTGGAGATTTCTCTGGTTCAGGTCACAATAACGATCTGCGGATGAATAAATCGATCTATAAAAAGGACTCGCCCTTTAAAACGTATGTGTGTGGTTGAAGTCGTGTTCTTGTCAACAGAGGGCGCCACTGAAAAGCTAGAAATGCACCCTCTATCTTGGTTTCACCAAGTTGGTATTTGGCAAGTAGCATTAGAAACAACAACAGAAAGTGGTCGAAATTTCGATTGCAAGGTTGAACTATCATAGAATCGAGTTAACAAAGGTAAAATAGTAATTATTTTAATTGCTAACGTCAAATTTCCAAAAATTATCGATTTTTTAATCCTCAACACATTATCATTATTGTAATGAATGTAATTAGAACAGGGACGCAGTGTTGATAAAGCCTTCGTGATTTTTCTCTATGCTAAGATCGTGGAAGGTTAAGAACTGTTTATTTCAAACGCCTCTTTTTATAATTAATCACTATGTTCCTGTCACGGTAATTCACATACGCTTCTGAATATCGTGCTTTTAGAACAAAAAATTAAATGGTTACACCTGTCTTTAAATTGCTTTTTCACGTGTTTAGAATCGTCTTTGTGTATATTTTTTCTTTTTATATATGCGCATTATTGCAAAGCTTTGCTTCAATTTCAAAGAAAGAAAAAGGCGTGTAGAGGGGATTGTTGTACTTTAGATCAAGTACTCTACCAGTACAAATATTTGCGCTACCTAGAGGAGGAATTTTAAATTCGGAATATATTGATGCTTGTAACAGAAGGCGCTGTCTGCTGCATTGGAGACCATTTCAGGTTTTATGTTTTAGTGACTTTTTATTTGCCTATTTTTTTTAAAATTAATTTCTACGGAAAATGTAATCTAATAATAATCACATTTGGAAAAAAAAAAGAAAAAAAAGCTAAGATAGATAAGTACCTAAAATTTGTTCTCATAAATCCTTTGACACTGATAGGCCACTGGTGCCCCTTTTATATATTTTTTTTCAGAAGCTCCAATTACAAACAAAATAGTTAGACATTTTTAATAAAAAAAAGTTTTAAAATGATTGTGTTAATATGAGAATTTGTTTCTATCAGGTTTTTAAAAAACTTAGTTTCTTATTAATTGTGGTAGAACGAACCTTAGCAGCTGCATTGTTTTAGATTTGAATTTCTTTAAAATAATAAGTAACTAACATAAAGTGCAATTTTTAGTTATTGCCACATGAACTGATGTGTCCAATGAAGCCAAGATGTTGCCCTTTAGCAGAGGCAGGTTGTCCCTTCAAGGTAAGCTTAAAAATGATTTTTTATTTCTGATTAGAAGCCAAAGCATAATTTTATTTCCCGATTTTTTTAAAAAAAAAAAACTTTTTTTATTATTAAAATTTATTTTTTCGTACTCTCCATTATCAGATAGAACTTTATTGTACTAAAACTGTTATTTTTCCTTTTTCCGTAAAACGTTATTACCTTTAAACTTCCATATTTGTTTATTATTACAATTTTTTTCATGACAGAAAATATAATCAATATTTTCTTAATAGCTTTGTATAGTGAGGTAAAAAAAAATAATAAATAAAATAAAAGGTATCACCCCAAATACGGTATTAACCTAATAATCGAATTTTTTAGCTCCTCGAAACAATTTTATGGTTTGAATGACTTACTTAAAATTTGTAGTCAATAAATTAAACCCCGAAATCATTTACAAAACGTACTTAAATGAATTAACAAATTTTTTTTCTTCGCAGGATTGGGATTTCGGAAAATATAGTTCCATTAGTTTCGTTAATTTAACTCTTAATTTTTTTGTGTTATTTATGCATTTTTAAAACTAACTGGCTTACAAAAGATAATTTCGGGCAAAAAATAATTTGTAATTATATATTTATTACTTTTAATTATCTGATAAGTATGATTGTACAGTAAAGTATACAAATTTGTATATTTTCGTAAATAATGTAATTTAAGACTAATATAAATATTTGAGCAGAACCGGTTAAAAAAAAAATGCTTTTTCTATTTTGCTACAATAAATTTCCCACACATTTTGAATTTTACCTTTAAAAATTACATAATTGTGGATGTAAAATATCTATGTTTATCTTGCAATATCGACACTAAATTAAATATTAATACCTATGGGATATCACTTTTTTTTTGTTTGCATGTTTTTTCTTTGGGTTAACGAGTCTTATAACTAGCCGCATAAATCAGTATAAGTACTAAAATACTTTCTGTTATTAAGAGTGCCACTTTTTATTTTTTCTCTCAATTTTGTTTTTTTTTCTTGAAGGGCACATCTGAAGAGCTCGATACACACTCTAATGATGTCCAGACTCACATGCGAATTATGGCAGAAGCAATGACTCAATATCGTTTAAATATACAGGTAAATTACTAAAATTCCATGAACAATTTTTGCATTTTCATTACGTGATTTTGTATAAAATGCCAATTATTTGCAGCTAACTTTGAATGACGATGTATGGAATATAGATTTCATAAATTTGAATTATAATTAACAAATTAATGATTTATTAAAACTACTGGATATCGATCAGTTACAGAGCCTGACTCAGGCAGGGGCGTAAGGGGCAGCTGCCCCGGGCCTCCACATCAGAGGGGGGGGGGGGCTCAAATTGAATAGAAAGTTTATTTTAAGTTTCCTTCTTTAATGAACTTTTTTCAAACAAAATATATGTACAGTGTAAAATCCATCAGTTTTAACTTAGCTTCTTCATTAATCTATAGTATGAACACAAAAAATCTATATTTTGTAAATCCATTGCTTTCTAAGGCTGATTTCAATTAAATTTTCGCAATGGCAAATTTGGCCAATGAAAAGCCTGTACTTTTACATATCGCAAAATGCTACATGTTTACAAAAATATAGACTTTTGATTGGCTTCATTGAGCCATCGTCATTGTGAAAATTTAGCTTACTTCCGCCCTAATATCAGCAAGGATGAGTATTTTTCGCACCTAGGTGACAAAGTTAACAATCAGCAAACTGCATCCGGCATGATGAACATAAAATTGTCAGAAAATCAATAAAATGGACAGAACGATACTTCGTCTGACTATTGGAGGAAAGTGGACCCATTTTAGGTTCTAGTTAAATTTCTTGTTAAATATCTGTAATGAGGCGAAAAATTTAAATACCTTCATAAAGTTCGGTTCTTCATTACTGAAGCAGAGGAGGGGCCCTGAAGAAGTTACTACCCCAGGCCCCAATTAGGCTAAGTCGGGCCCTGATCAGTAACTCAGAACAAAGCAATCATAAAACGTACGAGTTTTGAGACACGTTACTTTGATTGTGACGAGGGGGCTCCGGTCCTTGCTCGTCAACACTTTTTTGCGCAGTTATTTTCAGATCGTTTCGTTCTCTCAATTGTCAGCTATCCACCAACACATCTTAAAGGAGAGAAAGCCATCGCACGGGTTACCATAAGTGTTAAATCTGATCCTTTAGCTATCTGAGCGTTGGGACACCTCCCCTCAATTGTGCAGTTTAGTGTCCAAACGCTGTGAAATCTTTATTTTACTTCCACTACGCAGTTTATGTGTTTTACGTTGGACTACTAAATTGATCCGTTCGGAGGCCTTCTCTCTTCTAGGAGGTGTTGAATGGGCGCGGCAATAAATCTCTATATTAAACAAGGATTGATATTTGTGAAGAAAAAAAAAATGCAATTTTACAGTTACACCGAAACTAATTAGAAATTAAAAGTGTGAGAAATGTTGTTCGTCATAAGATGTACGCGAAGTACTTAACTGCAAAAGATCAACATTCTATTGCTATACTTTTAGTAAATATATTAGGCGTCCCAAGATTTCAACACTTGTCACCATTCTGTTACCCTGGTATACCCAAATTCCACTTTTTACTGAAGCATGCCGTCGTGGGTTAAAAGAAAAGATTTTCCATAAAAGTGGTTAAAGAAGAGGGGAAAAAAGTAGAGAGTGGGAAAATCGTGTAATCTTCAGACACCTATTCTATTTATTAACACTGTAATAATTTTTTATCGATAAAATAGAGAAAAAGTGTCTGCATCAATAGCATTTTCCTGTGAGAATGTTTCTTTAACATTTCTTCTTTAAGAATGTGCAAAATTACATATTTTTTTATTGAACAGTTTTTGCGTTAAGAAAATTGAGAAACGTGTAAAACGTGTTACGAAAATTTTCTGAGCCACCAATGTCGATGGTTTTTAATTACATAAATGTAGAGAGAAAAGTAATTATTTTTTTCTTATAATGCGCGATAATGTAAAAAACTATTAAAGAAATTTTGAATGAATTTTGGAAATAGTAGATTAATAATTATTTTAAACAGTGTCGATTTATTTCCTTGTCTGAATCTAACCAATTTTAAGAGTTGAGGATTTGATTTTTTGCGATTCTTAACTGTTTTTCTTGAATTTTAAGCAGTTTTATCCATCGTCCTTCATCAATTCATTCTAGCATAACATCAGACCGTTAGAACAGATTTTTATCAATTCGATTCTGGGAAAAGTTTTAGTATTCCCAAGTTTTTTTTAAAAAAAAAAATAATTTTTTATAATTCCTTTTTCTGCTTCGATGTTTGCTAATCTAGGAAAATGTTTTACGGGGAAAAAGTTTAAAAAAAATTTTTTTGGACGAGTTAAGTATCGTAGAAATAGGTAGACAGAATGGTTGCGAGAACCAAAATTCGTCCCGGGTTTTCGTGAGATTTTCATGGGCTGCCAGAACCTTCTAACAAATCCCAATGGATCCGGGTTTATTATTTGGAATATCTGGGTTTATTCGAATTTTCACCTAATTTGTCAATTCTTAACAATTTTTTTTGTCCTAACTCACCTTTTCTTTAATTTATATCTCTGTAACCATCGTGAAGTAGACGCAATATTTTTTACATATCATTTGATAAACAAGAGAGAAAAAACTAACAAAAAAATGAGCTTGATTTGTTAATAAACGTAAAGCAATTTTTACTGATAAACATGAATGATAAAACACAAAGAGCGATAAATACGGGATTTTTTTTATAAGTACGCAACACAAATTTAATCGACTTTTCATGTTATGTTCATACAACGTTTGAGTCATTAATTAAATAATAAACTCGGGTATGCACAGTGGGCCAGCATCCGAGGTTTCGTGGTCAAAATTAGTATTTCGATAAAATTTGGGTTTTTTTTATGTGCAGGTAAATTGAATTCATAATTGAAATACACTAAAAATACCCAAAAAGCAAAATGGCGGCTGAAATATGGCGAGCAAAAATAAAAAAAATAATATAGTACGTTTAAATAATTAAATATAGCAATGAAAATATAATAATTTTCGTAATTTTATATTAAAAATGAAAAGCAAATTATATTTCCGAAGTAATATTACAAAATAACGCGAAAACATGAAGAAAAAAAAGTATAATTTTTGTTTTTCGGTAGGAGGATTTTTGGAGATAAGTTTCGAAAGTGATTCAAACATTGTTAAATGTCAAATGATAAGATATAAACTATAAGTTTGTCAAGAGTATTCACTAATCCAGCAAATTGAAAAATTGTACTATAATTTCAGACTAATTACTCTGATAAAAATGTAACAGTAAGGTGAAATTCCTATGTATATTTCAGAAATAAAAATTTAAAAGTTACATGTAAAAAAAAATTTTAAACATATTTTTCATTACATTGTACTCTTGTCGGTCCAAAAAGTAAATTATAATGTTTGGAATGATTATGATTACTTAATTTGGGCTATATTAAAACTGCCTACACATATTTTAGTTGAAAATTTAATTTTTGACTTTTGGCCAAAGATCATGGTCATATGGCCCATAGTGGTATGTAGAGATAATCTTCTGATATTATTTTATCATTTGATTTCAGTGGAACCCTTTTGCTGTTTAACCGCCTCCCTGATTATCTAGAATTAACTCTGATTATCTAAAATTAACTCTGATTATCTAGAGTTATCTCTGATTTACTAGAGTTAACTCTGATTTACTAGAGTTAACTCTGATTTACTCTAGAGTTAACTCTGATTACCTAGGGTTAACTCTGATTTACTAGAGTTAACTCTGATTACCTAGAGTTAACTCTGATTACCTAGGGTTAACTCTGATTACCTAGAGTTAACTCTGATTACCTAGGGTTAACTCTGATTAAATAGGGTTAACTCTGATTACCTAGGGTTAACTCTGATTAACTAGAGATAACTCTGATTAACTAGAGTTAACTCTGATTAACTAGAGTTAACTTTGATTAACTAGAGTTAACTCTTATTACCTAGGGTTAACTCTGATTACCTAGAGTTAACTCTGATTATCTAGAGTTAACCCTGATTATCTAGAGTTAACTCGGATATATATATATATATATATTGCAAATATCAATTAATTTATTCTACTACGCCGAAAAAACTCGGGCGTAGTAGAATTTGTCAGTACGTTTTGTTTCATTATGTTTTCCCTATGCCGGAAGCAAAATAATACTAATTTGATGTAATAGGAAGTTGGCCAAGTTTTGCTGTTGGATTGCACACATGTTTTGTGTGATTGTATATACACAATAGTTGCTGAATTTACTTAGGAAAAAAAAGAGTAAAAAAAAAAAATGGCGTATTACTTCACTGTTGTTTGGAAAATATCGCTTTGTGTTGTCCCTTGTTTTAAATAATATCATATTTAACTTTTTTCATTTTGCTCGAGACAACTCCGTATCGTAAACTGATGGTAAATTAAATGTTTTAACACCTAAAAAAATTTCAGCATAAAACTTGCGTATTATGTTTTGTTTTAGTTCCTTGTATTTTATTAATAAAATAAAAAATATTGATATTTTGCATTTTTTTTAAAAATTGGTAAAGGAAGTGCTTAAAACTTTCCCGTTTAAGTAGGGGGGAGGGATTAACTTAAATACTTAGATTTAAACAAATGCAGTATAGTTTTCGATTTATATTTTTATGCTGAATTAAATGAAACCAAAATAGAAACAATAGGACTATTTTTTGAGACGATATAAAGGTTTTATGTATAAAATGCACGTGTTTGTACTTGTAAATATTTGCGCATTTGACAATGCTGTATAGACAAGTGAGGTATTGTTTCCAATATATTTCTTCACGCTGAATTGAATGCGACTATACACAAGTGGATAAAACAAATAATTCAAGAATTATAAGCTTTTTATGTCTGAAAAGTACTTCTTTTGCCACGTACTTATGTACAAACTTTATAGTTTGTCTAAGATAAGAACTCCCCCAGACATTCGTCTGGACCAATGGCGGTGACTATAGTAACGAGGTATGACTATTTCAAGTATGAGCTATTCTTGTTTCCATAGCACCAGTCGGCCACAGGCATAGTGGCGGGAGGAGTTCTTAGCTTAGACAAACTATATCGTTATCCAGGAGCTATCTAAACATGCAACGTACATTTTTGATGTACTTTTTCACGCTACGCTAAATTGAACGAGATCAATACCGGGGCAATTGGACAAATAGTTTAGAAGTTATAAGCGTTTTATGTACAAAAGTACAGTTTTGCCCTCGCACTTATTTACAAATCTTACATTGCTGTACAGAAAAATGAGGTATTAATTCCTATGCTATTTTTTCTCATTTGATCGAATGAAACCAAACACAAATCAATAGCGCTGTCTCTATAGCAACGCAAGATGCGTAAATAAAGTGCAAATACAATATTGTAATTTTGAACATAAAACGCTTATAACTTCTAGACTATTAGACCGATTGCGTCAGGATTGATCTCATTAAATTCAGCGTAAATAATGACATCAACAAATGTACCTTACATGTTCAGATAGCTCTCGGGTAGCGATGTAAAGTGTATACACACAAGTACTTGCTTTTATGTGAACACAATACATTAATACATTATAATACTAAACATTTCCCCTCGCTGTCAGGGTAATCGTGAAAAGCTTTCATGGTCTTCCTATGCATGTAACGCAAATGCGGGTTAGCTCCATCAAAAAGTCCTTCACGAAGGCAAAATTTCTCCCAATACTCGATCCCTGAGTTCCCTTGTCTTCTGGATGGGGTTCAAAATTACAAGGCTACGGAGTTGAACATTAGTAGTTGTAAACCCATAAAATTGGATCGGCTGTTCAACGATGGTTATAAAATGAAAATAAAAAGAGGTAATTTTTAGACATAAAGTTTGCAACTTTTGAATAAAATAAAAAAAACTATCTTAAACCCTAATTTGACAGCCAACAACGATTTTCGGAAGCGAAACGATTTAAACTCGACGGCTTACTCCAGGTAAAAATTGAGTTTTTTATTAAAACTTCATATATATTTCAGAATATACAAAATAAATCTAAAACATGCGATTTCAGAACTTAACAAATTATCTGTAAAAAGATTGTGGGTATCTTCCTTGCAAGTTTGACTTAACATGTTCGTCTCGGAATCACATTTGTATTTTCACGTTTAACGTCTAAAATGCATTATGTATCAATAATTAAAATTAGAGATCGTTTTAATGTTTATTGCAGAGCATGAATTTTTTCTCCTTTTTTTAAAAAAAAAATGTATGGTTTTTTTTTGTTCCAGAATTTGGAAGAAAAAGTAGCGGAATCCGTATCGGAGAATATAAAACTAAAAGAACAATTGCAGGTAAGTCATTTAAATCTTTTCAACAGAAATAATGTAAGAAAATATAATTTTAAAAGGTTTTTCTTTTCATTTTAGGATATTTATCCAGTATTAGGAACAGTTAAGAATTTAGACAAGACCGTCACATCACTACAAGAAAAAATAAAGGTATAAAATAAAAATGCATGGGATTTAGTAAATGTTTTAGATTAAAAAAAAATTACATTAATGTTTTGAATTAATAAAGTAGTATATGTTATGAACTAATTAGAAAGATTAACAGAATTCTTACTGTAATTTAATTTTTACTCATCTGTTTTATTGATCAAAATTAAATATTTATTACAGTTAGAAATAAATGAAATCAAGGTATTTTATGAATATTTAAAAATTAATAGAATAAATATATAATTAAATGTAGCTCAATTTAAATAGTGAAAAAAGTATAAGAATTTACTTTAAAAGAATAGTTTTACTTTACTTAAGTTATAAAATAGATTAGTTAGTGAAATTATTAATTCAAAAGTAATAGACAATTTTATTATAACTGTATGTAAAATATATAACTTTTCAGAAACTGGAAATAGCTGAGCAGACTATTGAAGAAATGAATGAGACATTAGTAAGACTCAAAGAATATATGCAGGTAATAATTTTCATTTCTAGTTTGAATATGTTAAATAGAGGGGATAGAGTGTTCGAATCCCTGCGATAGCTGGTCGTTGCGAATTCCGCACCCGGCTCGCACCGACCACAGCGCTGAAGTAAAAATATCCATCTGTGGTAAGCGGATCATGGGTTCGTTTTTTCACACACAAGTTATAGTTGGATACTTATAATTTTTACTCAATAAATACTTATAATTTTTTATTATTTTATTTAATAATAGCCGAAAAACTTTTGAATGGTATGCAATTTTTCGCATCTTTATAGAATGCAATTTTAAATGGTAAAATACAGCTATAAAAATTTGAGCGAAATCGTTCAAATAATTCCTGATAAATTGAGTTTTAAAACAAGCAATTTTTCAAAATTCGATTTCTCAGGAACTAGACCGATTTCGCTCAAATTTTGTATTTTGCAATTTAAAATTGCATTCAATAAAATGATGTAAAAAATTATATGCTTTGCAATTCAAAAGTTTTTCGACTAATTATTAAATAAAATAATAAATATTTACTAAAGTTATGTTTTGATTGGAATTATCTTCGGAGAAACGAATATTATAACTGTGTGTAAAAACTTTTTACATATGAACATTCTCAACATTTGGCGAAATATGCAAAAAGTAAAATTAACATGCGTCGAAAAAAGGTACGTTTATTTAAAGAAAGTACGTTTTTGTGGCTGATTTCGCAATTTTAAATATCGCCTCTATTTATTAATTAGTATATTTAAGGTTACCTCTTCGAACAATTGAGTCCTAAAACGTGAAGATCCGATCATTAGAATAAGTAATTTAGGGTGGTCTGCTTACTTTTTTCTCACTGCATACAGTGTGTGATCTTTGCTAGATTTTGATTCCCGGCAGTCCCTATGTTTTTATATTAATCCTTTAAAGGGTTCAATTACAATAAATAAAATCTAGTTTAATATTTATTCCAAAGAGTGTCCTAAAGCGTTTATTAATCAATTAAGAGGTTAAAACATTCTATGTATATTTTTGTATGGAACTTTTCAATGAAACATAACAAAAACGTAGGATATAATTTTGGATGATAAACAGAAAAAAAAAAAAAAAACTGTTCGTATATTCATAAAATTCGATTGTTTTATCAGTTTGATTTAGTGTTTAAGTTACGTACCAGATTTAAAGTTTTTATTTGTCTGATTTTCTTTTTTCAGAGAGCACAACCAGCTGTCGTGCAAGACCATAAATCTAAATCCCCACCATGCATTAAGTCCCCTCAATCCAAATCACCACCACACGGAGTGTTTAATCACAACGTCTCATTTGAAGATCAAAGGCCGAAACATGCAGCACCCCCAACAGATCTCTAGATGAATTAAATTGATCAAGAAAAAGAGATGGTATGAAACTATTGCAACTCGTCATAAGTGCCTTTAAATTGGACTTAGCACTATTTTAGAAATGCGGGGATGATACCATTGTCAAGTCCAACTAGCAATGAAGGTATCTGCAAAAAAAGCGCTGATCATCTGTTAGAATGACTGTTGTCTTAATGTTTTGTAAAATATTTGGTACCTATTTTATTTATGGTTTAGGAGTTAACTATGCTTGGAGTGGTGCAATATGATTTTTCTGAAATATAACTTCACGTGTCTTGCCTTTGCTTTTATTTTCAAAATATATTTTGTGCTATCACCGGTATCAAATTGCTAATCCAGTTTCACATGCCAAACTCCGTAGTTGTGTAATTTTGCAAATCCAGAAGACAATGGAAGAACTGACTCAAGCTTCGGAACTAACTCTTCTTTGTTGAGGACTTTTTAAGTGAAACTAGATCGCATTTGTGTTTTATGGAAAGGGCAAAACTACCGCTGTAAGCCTGTATTCTAATCCATGATTAGAGTTTACCACTGCAAATATTTAAATTCTACAAGTGGTTAGTGAGAATAAAAGTACTTAAGAGCAACGATCCTATGATGTTGGTTATAGCATAATTTTTTTTTTTTGTATAGTGTAGTAGTAATGAATAAAGGCTAATTTTAAAAATGCAAAAATTGCATGCATAATAATGCATATCTCTATCATTTGAAAATTTTTCATAAGCAATAAGTTAAGATTAATATAGCATGCACTTTTTAAAAATAAAATGGCTATATTCTTCTCAAATATTTTTCAGTTGGCAATTTTTGAATAAGGACTGTTCGACCATGTGCTTTTATGTTAATTTTTTATCTTGGAAAAAAAATAACTCTTTAAATTTTTCTACAATAGCCTATTGCGGGCCAGGTTATTATGGGGGTTAAGTCTGCACAATTTAGTGACCAACAGTAGCAACAGGGTTAGCATTTTATACAGACTGCCATTATTTCCAACTCAAGTTGGTACCATCGTTCTGAAGCGGAGTGGACTCAAAGCCATCAGCAGTGATGTTTTTTTTTGTTTTGAATTTTTGATTTTTAAAGGTGCCAGTAGAGTTTCATAATGCAGTTTGCATTTTTATGTATAAATCATTACGACATTGTAAAAGCTAGATAAAAAATAACGCATTGAAGCAACTGCAGTTTTTAAACCAATTATAGTTTACATATTAAAGTTACCAGTTAAAAAAAAAATAAAAATGCTTCTTATAACCTAAGAAATAGAATTGATATATAATTTTTGAGTTTGTAACTAAATTTTAGTTAACAGGTTAAAATATATTATTTAAAAATTTTTTTAAATTAATAAATGCAAGAGTTAATAATAAAAAAAAACTTTAAAAAAGTTTTTATTTTCAATGAACACCTGTGTTAACATTTTGTCAATTCAGGCATTTGCAGGGTAGATTAGTTGGCCACACTTTCAGGGGCATCTTATTAGGTGGGCAAACGTTGCTCCCACAGTAAGGGCAGATAGTAAAGAGAATGAATCAACATCCATGCCTTGCTCAGGATTCGAACCCAGAATCTTTCTGATGCAAGGCCAGTTCCCTAACCCCTACATAGTCCGGTCGGCCTTTTTAAAAGGTGATTTGTGAAATAAAAGTTACATCTATTGTATTGTTTGAAAATGTGAGTGATGATAACTAATTGTAAATAAAAAATTTATTTAGGACTGTGAAGATTTACTTTGTCTTGACACAAGCAATTCAGTTAACTGACACAATTCAACATGGCTATAGCCATAACTGAACGGACCTGGTTTGGTCTCAAAAACGTTAGTTTTTTTTCGTTGGAATAATTTTTAATACGTTTTCTGAAAGAGGGTGTAACTAACACACACACTCATCAGTCAAGAACAAAACTAGTCAAAATTAAAAAAGTAAACTATCTAAATTTTCACTATTGAATGCCTAATGCAGTTTAAATATAATTTAAATTTAGTAATATAACTTGATCAAAACTTTTAATATTGTATTGTGTTAACTGTGTGAAAATCAAATTTTTATGACTCTTAAACCAATATTACCAATGCAAAAATTAGATTACTAATTTACCCCATATACCTAAAGACANAAAAAAAAAAAAAAAAAAAAAAAAAAAAAAAAAAAAAAAAAAAAAAAAAAAAACGTAGAATTATCAAAACTTTTACATGAAAGAACATAAATCTGCACATTTGGGGTGCAGTTTATTTTGCAAGGACTATAGAATATATAGTCAAGGAAGGAATTATTAAGGAATATACTTCTATCAAAATGGTTAGAGTTTAATCTACTAATTTGCAATCTTTATATGATTTAGGTAAAATATGCAATTGGTTAACGTCATATTTCTTAAAAATTAATTTGATACAAGTATCAATATAGAGAGGTTTTATAAGAAGACTTTTAATAGTTTTGTCTAATGTCAAAATACAAAGAACTATTTCACCCTCCTAATTTTTAAGCAAAATATATATATCAAACCAGCTTCAGATTTTTTTTCAATGTTTGCTTCTCCATTAGTGAAGTAGAAATTATTTTTATGGGAATTTAATTAGCGTTTTTCATAAATTATGTTCTTTTTTATCACATATATTTATTAACATAAAATACAGAAATAAGCTTTTTACTACGAAAGTAGAAATTAAAGGAATAAATTTGACTATGCGTGTTTTTCTTTATTATACACAAAATCAGAATTTTTCTTTGGTTTCAGGAAATGACCCAAAATAATTGCAGAAGAGATAGAGAAACATTTTTTCCGATATTAAAAAGCACTTAAAATAGCATTATTTCATAACTTAAACAGTTCCCTTACCTTTTTTTTTTTTTTTTATAAACTGCTGTTTGTAGAAAATGCAACACCATGAAAGAATCATCAGAATCAAATGAAATTTAATGCAGAAACGACTTGTACTGATACAAATAAATGATGAAATTTTCAAAACAAAAGAAACAAATTAAGCGTCCGAAATCAGTATTTGGTGCAGCCACCACGCGCTGCAATAAGTGCTGCTATACGACGTGGCATGGAGTCAAACAGATGTTGAATATCTGCTTGAGGAAGAGAATTCCATATCGCTTGTATGCGCAACCAAAGTTCGTCTTTGGAAACTGCAGGACGCGGATCACGAGTGAGACGCCGACCAACCATATCCCACACGTGCTCAATAGGCGACATATCCGGCGAATAAGCAGGCCAAGGAAGAAGTTGCATGCGTTGTGCTGAACAGAAGTCTCTAACAGTCCGCGCAACATGTGGGCGTGCATTATCCTGCTGAAAGATAGCTCCAGGGATGCCTTGAAGGAAAGGAACGACTTCGGGCTGTAGCACTTCACGGACGTATCTGTTGCTATTGAGATTACCCTCAATTCGTATCAAATTGGATCGTCCATGATACGAAATCGCACCCCAGACCATAACTCCGGGTGTTCGACCACTATGTCGTTCAATAATACACTCAGGAAGGCAGCGTTGACCGGCATAACGTCTAACACGAACACGGCCATCATGGGTCCACAAATTGAAGCGTGATTCATCTGAAAAGACAACTTGGTGCCAATCAGCTCGCCAGTCTCTGTGCTCAAGAGCCCACTGCCGACGCAGCCGTCGATGATCCGCCGTGAGGGGAATCCTGTATAATGGCACCCTTGCACGCAATCCACGGCGCAGCAGACGACGACGAATTGACGAAGCCGACAATTGTACACCTGTAGCAGTAGACCAATGTGCTGCCAGCTGCCTGGAGGAAGCTGTGCGATCATTCACCGCCATGCGGAGCAGGTGTCGATCATCGCGCTCTGACGTCACCTTCTGTCGTCCAGTGCCTGTTTTTCGAGTTGTTCGGTGCTCGTCGGTCCACTGCTTCCAAACTCGCATCACTGTGGAACTGTTCCGCTGCATACGAGCTGCTATTGCGCGATAGGAAAATCCTCCTTCTCGAAGGCCGATTATCCTCCCTCGTTCAAACTCCGTAAGTTGCTTGAATTTCTTATTCTTCCGTCGTGGAGGCATACTCAGGTCTCACTAAACGTTTGCCACTAACAAATAATCATAGACTATTTTCAACGTCCCGCTACAGCACTTTATTTATACGCTTTCAGCATCAATTCAGAGGGCGCTGCGCGCGCCACGCACGCGCGATGGCTCTGAAACTTTATTAATTTGCATAATATCCTATAATTGACATTTGCTGCGAATTTCATTTGATTCTGATGATTCCTTCATGGTGTTGCATTTTCTACAAACAGCAGTTTAGAAGAAACAAATTTTCTTGACTGGTTATCCAACTAGATAAGACATCCTAAAAGGAATTAAAATGCAGAGAAGCTTACAGAAGTAATTATCTGTTTCAGGGAGTCATAAAAACAAATTTAAAACAGCATGTACCTGTTAGAACAATTAAGCACCACTAAGATCAATAATAATTATGCGATTTTTTAAGGCTTCACAAGTACCCTTTCAGATAGCAAAAGTATTAAAAACATATGAATCATTAATGAGATATCTGCAAGTGAGGTAGTGTTACCCACACTACCTCACTTGCAAGCATTTGTTTACGTTCCTGAATCCTGATTGGGAACTCTCAATCCTGATTGGTTGTTGAAATGAGGCATTTGTTTACGTTAGCAACAGGTTTTACCATTCTATTCAGAGAAAGCCAACCCCGTCAAGTATCACTTCTCTTAAGTGACACATTCTATATTCTTGTCAAAGATTTGAATTCTTTCACGACATATTTCTTTAACGATTCATGATAATTCCTTATCATAAAGACAGGCACGAAGCTACGTAGAACATAAACTAATTTTGCATCAAAGTTGACAGGTACGTAAAACAAAAATATATAGAAGTTGAAATGAAATACAAACAAATAATGAATCTAAATTAAGTGAAAGATATAGACGAGAATGAATTATAATTTCAACAAAGTCAAAGCGCGATATGGTGCTGTATTTAATTAACATTTGTGGCAGCGCTTTGCGCTCTCGTGCCATAGGTCCTGGGTTCGATCTTCGGGTCTGGCAAGGTTGACTTAGCCTTTCATCCATTCAGTGGGTCGATAAATGAGTACTAAGCATGCTTGGGAACTAGACACTGGGTGTTCCGCGTTCGGCTGACCGGAACATCTGCTCCTGCACCCCAGAGCCCAAGGTCAAGAAAACTGAGATGGGCACAGTAGGCCTTGGCCCTCTATGGGCTGTCGCGCCACTAAGTTTAGTTTAATTAACATTCTAATTTATGTGGTGAAATTTAGCTCAACTTTAACCGTGCCATTTTGCTTATAAACCATCAGCTGCTGCAGATGTCATAGGTCATATATGTGGGTATCTGTTGTTGTCTTCTTGAAGTACAAGTACCCAATTGATTCGCAATTAATAAAACACATTTTTAGCAGCTGGATAATAAACAACATGAATTAATGAAATCCTTCATACACATTGTATACAAAATCTATTTATTTCCGTTTACAAAACTTGACGTTAATCAAAATTGTAAAAAGCTCAGAAATACAGCATATAAACACAAAGCATGAGTGAGTTTGTTCTTTCATTTATACTGTGTAAATAAATTTATATACATGTTTGATGCACAATTGGATCACAGCACATGTACACACACCAATAAAAATTATAGCTACCTCAAAGCATAAACAAGGTCTCAACAAAAATCTACACAGCACTCCAACACACCATTTTGTATAACATAAGCAATTGATTTATTTATATAAACTTTAAATACTCAAAAGCAAAAAATACATTAAAAAAATTTGTTCCAACTATAACAATTAAACATTGCTGATAAAAACCATGCATGTATACTGTCAATTATATAGTCTAATGAGAGGGAAGGATAACATGAATAATCAGAAATTATTCATTTTTCAATAGTATATTCATAAACAAAATTGCTTAAGTCTAAAATTAATATTGGATATCTAAAGCCGTTCGATAAAATATATTTCTTTCTGTGTGCAGAAACAGAGCAAACCTGATTTTGGTATTAATTAGTAGTGCACAACAATTTTGAGAGAATTACCATGCTAAATAATTCAAATTTCAAGGATTGCAACAATGTCATAAATTGTTATGTCAATTCAAAGAAATTTAATCACCCCCCCGAAAACTAACTAAACTTATTTAATTTCTAAAAATGTTAAGAGGAATTTTTGTATTTAAATAAAAAAAATCTCGTAGATAATTATAAAAAATTATTTTTTAAGATGCTAGCACAATTTTTGTTTATAATACTTGAACATTTCATCAATAGAAAAACAGTTTTAATATTTTTTCACTACATGAAATTGCACTTTTAGTTTTTATAATGAATCCTAGAAAAAAAAAATTAATCCTTTAAAATTAGATATTTTTTTGTTATAATTTATGCGTTTTATCAGAGTTAATTAAAAAGCTTTATAAGTTTTTTCTTTATATAAAATTNCCCCCCCCCGAAAACTAACTAAACTTATTTAATTTCTAAAAATGTTAAGAGGAATTTTTGTATTTAAATAAAAAAAATCTCGTAGATAATTATAAAAAATTATTTTTTAAGATGCTAGCACAATTTTTGTTTATAATACTTGAACATTTCATCAATGAAAAAACAGTTTTAATATTTTTTTGCTACATGAAATTGTACTTTTAGTTTTTATAATGAATCCTAGAAAAAAAACTAAATCCTTTAAAATTAGATATTTTTTTTGTTATAATTTATGTGTTTTATCAGAGTTAATTAAAAAGCTTTATAAGTTTTTTCTTTATATAAACTTTTGTGTCATTTTCAAATTATTTCCTGACCAGAAGGTAATAGATAAAACATTCAAGGGCCACATTTGGCTTCTGAGCTGCAAGCTGAGCACTCATAGTTCAAAACTCTTCCTTTAGTTTTCAGATGAATAAAATAATTTTGTAATCATTTAAAAATAAAATTATTTTTTCTTACGTAAATTTATTTAAATAGTCAAAAACTTGTAGATAATTAGGAATATATATTATCTAGATATTCACATTGTAATTTTTATAACTGTCAAGTTAAACACATAAATAATAACTGTATATAAAGAAAATGAACTTTTGTGGTATAACACCAGTTATTTTAACTTCAGTAATCCTCTCGCCAGCCAGATAAAAAGGCAACAAAAATACAAAGCTGTTTTTGACAATCCAAATTTTGTATAGAGTTAAATTTTTCTTTGACTTGACATATTTGCAGAAGAAGAAAAAATTCTTTTCATCTGAAATGGAAGACTACTTTTAGAAAATTTATATTTTTTCATTTATAATTAGATAAACATACTTAGTTTTTAAGTATTTTTGACTAGGTAAGAATAGCTACAAAATGAATACAGAGAAGATGCAATTTTATTTGTTACATGCCAGAAAAAATGGTTAAGTCCTAATTTTTTTGTGCAATTAAAAACTAAGCTGAAAATTTGAATATTTGATCAAATAAAATAATAGCGTTTTATGCACCATGTAATCCGAATAAGAAAGCCTTATTAATGGTTTTTTTTAAAAAAAAAAGTTCATAATCTATTTTTAACAGAATAAGGTTAAACTATGTAAAACATTTTGATAATGATATTGAGTGAGAAGATTAATAATGACAATTACAGATTAATAATGGAATTATGAATGTAAGTATTGATCATGTGTTTATGAAATTAAATACAAGGATTATTAAAAAAATTATAAAACATATTAATAAAATCTAAAAATTAATTATGATAGAAAACTAAATAAAAATTTAAGGCCTTATCTTTACACTGTAAAGTAGCAAATGTAAAGGTAAATTGAGGTAGGTTGAAATTATAAGTTTAAATGAATTGTAAACAAATATATAATAATAATAAATCAAGTGGTAATTGTTACTTTTATTTATAAAATACTGAGGTAGGTTGAAATTATAAGTTTAAATAAATTGAAAACAACCATATAAAAATACAGCCGAACCTCGTTAACGCGAAATTGGCGGACTATAATTATGTCATATTAACTGGGTTTCATCTTATCTGATACATCATGAAAGCAATTTATTACATACAATTAATACATATGCACTACATTAATGTAAGTAAATAATACTATTATGTATCAAGAAAATTAAAATAAGCTTAAAAATTTTAACTACTTTATTTTTCTGTCCATCTGTTGTTTCTAACAAGGGGATAAAATAGAAATAGATTCTTCAAAATGAACAATTGGCACTTTATTCACATGCATATTATCTGTGCTGTGCCTCGTTTCCTTTCATATTAAGTGATAATCAGCCTGTAAATTTCATGTTAAACATGCAAAATACAATAAAAATTGATTGCTGACTCATGGAACAAACATGTGTTTCATGTAAAGGGATATGTCACGTTACCCGATTTCGCCTTAATGAGTTTCGACTGTAATGATAAATCAAGTGATAATTGTTAATGAATAAACTTACTTTATTAATAAAATATTTTCACTCCTTTTTTCTCATGCTAATGCTATAAAGCACATCAATACAATTCCTAAACCCTTCAGCACTACACAACATATTTATTGCTACATACATAGACTATATCCAAGATGTTCAAAGCACACTCATTGAAAGTGTTAAGGTATATTTTTTTCTGTGCATACAGACTACTTATTTTTCTAGTTTTTCGAAGAAAAATTTAAAATTTGGCAAAGGTAAAATGATTTAAATTTTTAAACATATATATGCTATTTAAAATTTTATCATCCAAGTTGAATTTGATGATTTAAAAAATTTTTAATGCAAATTTTTTCTTCATATTAAGTGATGTTTAATATTTTAAACTTATTTAATGCCAAGTGAAAATAAAAAAAAACAAATAAATGTAAAAGAAATAGAAAAAAGGTTTTTTTAAAATTAGAATTTTCAGTATCAAAACAAATCACATATGAATCAGCGATTTTAGAAGTGAGGGTATATATTTTAGATGTATCGGAAAGAGAGAGGATGTATCTTACAGTTTCGAAAAGTAGGGTACAGCAGGTGTATTTTTATTTTAAAGTGAAGAGGGGGAAGGGGACATCACTCTGCGTTTATTCGCACTGGTCTTAAAAATTCTTAAATGATTATTTATTGAAACAAAATACCTATAATAATTAATTTGCCTATTAACAAATTATTAAGAAATTCGATTAGTTCCCTCTTTATCAATCTTTTTAAACACTGGACAGTAAACAACAACAAATGCACATCTTCATTTCTTTCAACATACTATAAAGTAGTTCCAATAAATATATATGTACATACAATTGTGCTAGTTTTGTATAAAACATACATTGTTAGATAATTACTGAGACCTATCTTTTTCAGCTGTGCAAGCTATAAAAAGCAAAAATGGTGATAATAAATGGTGGTAATAAATTGCACTTATGCATATTAATGTAACTTTTCAACCATTTATATATATTTATATTCACATATTTACATAACTATTATACTTTGAAATAGCCTATAAAACTAATAAAAAAAAATATACTCTTATAATGAGCATTCTAAAAAAGAAACAAAAAACAGCACAATATATAAAAAAATAAATAATAAACAGTATTTGTATAAAGGAATACAATTATTGTTCCAATGAGCACATTATAAATATATACCATAAAACTTGGCAAAAATAAACCATTGAATAACAAAATGCAAATTTCAGTCTACAAAAAACATTTCTCTAAAGCACAAAAGTAGTTAAAATAAATGGAAGAATAAAATGTTAGTTAAAAATCTTTTAAATGAGTTTTTTTAAAATAAATAAACTAGCAACCACGACTAGATATTGAAATAGCACACACAAAAAAAAGTTCTTACAGAAAAATCAATTATATATAAATAGGCTTATAACAGTTTTTTCTTCTTCTTCAAATTTTAGTGCAACTTTTTTTTCCATTTGTTACACTAAGTAGTAAATCTAATTCTAAAAACGGCAGTGTATGAAGGAAAAGCAAATGGCAAGAGATTTAAATATACGAAACAAATAAAACATTTCACAATACGGGGTAATGTCATCTGAATATGAAAATTTTTGATTAAAAAAACTGTTTGTAAAAAAGTTGCCTAATATTGATATTAGCATCAATTTAAAAAAAAAAAAAAAAACTAACTATATCAATCTATTCAAATACATTCTAGTTAAAGTTCTTAAAAGAATAACATGAGAAAAGCTGGCTTTCAGTGAAAAAAAAATTGTTTGTAAATTTAAACTGAGTTTAAAATTGAAAGTTAAAAGGGTTATATAGTTTAATTTAAACTCGTGTAATAAATTTTTGCTACTATAAAATCCTATTATATAATTAAAACCATAAAGCTCTTGAAATAACTATTTTTTAATTATTATTAGAAATTTAAGAACATGAAATCTTATTTATATTCTGTTATTAAAAATATTATTACATAATAGGGGAACTGGTGTGACTTTTAGATATACAGATTTTCTACAATTTAAATTAAAAATGCCAAAGACATAATTAACTAAGCATTAATATAATATATCTATATAATTGAAGTAATATAATATCTATTTTTTTGCATCTGTATAATAGCGGGAATGATATTTCATTTTTAATCCAAAGAGTTCATTCTGTTCACAATTTATAATATAGTTTAAAGAGATTCCTTCTCAGCCTAGTACAGCAAAGCAAAGAAAACTTATTTAGATTAAACAAACATTTTAGTTTGTAAAATTAATAATTAATTTATTTCAATTAATAATATAAATTTAGGGGAAAACTTCAAATTTTTACAAGAAAAAAACAAACAAAAACAATTTTAGAACACGTTGACCAAGTATCTGACAAATAATTATTAATAACTATAAAATATGAAATCCTAAATAATTGAAATGATTAGTTATTATAAAATGTAATTTAAATTTTATTACTAAAAATATAGAAAATTTAGAAAAAAGATATGATAAAAAGAGATAAAAGTTGACGAGAGTTCATTTCTTGTCTTACATTCTACCAATCAATCAATCAATATTTTTTGTTATCAGAAAACTTTTTTTTTAATCTTTTATTATATTTAGGTTTACATAAGAGCTTCTGTTAATTCATACTCAATATTTCTTAAATGCAATAAACTATTGTTTTTTTTTTTATAACTTTAAATTTTTTGGAATATTTAATTACATTAGAATGATTTTTAAAAATAAATCTTATTTACAAGTGAATAAATAAGAAAACTTAAGCACTCATTTAAAATTTTGACTTAGCACTCATTATTTTTTTGAAAAATTTCTTCTATAAACAAAAAAATAAAATGACAAAGCACATAGCTAATATCAAGAACATAGTAAAATATATTTTTTGATTCTATAAAGACCACAATAAATTTTTACCATCCCTTGTTCTATAAATAATGCTAGAGATAATTTTTCTGCACTGTCTTTACTTGCGGTTGAAAGGAAAAAAAAGACAATAGAAAATTGAGCAAATTTATTAAAAGTATCATAATCCTATAAAATATCTTTTATTTAATTAACTCTTACTATCTTTGAAATAAAATATTTTACCTACAAAGCAATTCAAAATTCTCTTTTTAAATTCAGAAGGCTATAAAAGACTTATAAATACAGCAGAAATAAATCTAGTGCCAAATGCAGAAAATGATGAAAATTTTCTAGACCTAATATTCTTTTCAACATGACATGATTGTAACTTGACTTCTTATTTCCCACAATATATATCATAGTAATAAGCCTAATAAGCATAAAGGTAAGCACTGAGGAATGTAACATACCAGCTGAATTACGGTGAACAATAAAGAGTATAATAACATAAAAGCAAGAATCGACTCAAGTGTACATAACTAAAACTCCACCAGGCATAAATCAGTCTTGTAAACAAAGTTTGATGATAGAAAAATATATGGAACACCAAAATCATGGAATTTATGTTCTCTGAAAACATGTGAACCTCTTTAAGAAAAGTGTCCTCTAAGGAAGTGCATTCAACGATATGGACTTAATCAAACGATAAGGTAAATCCTAAGCATTATTTCATCTCACTGATAGTTTTTAGTCACTTTTGGGTACTGCCATGTCCACCAGCTACTACTGCTTTATATTAACAGTAAACCAAGGGTTCAAATATATGAAATACTCATAAGGTCTGTAAAAAGATTTTTTAAAAACGTTTCTGCATTTGATCCAAGGTTAAATTCTGCCAGTTTCATAGTCTTTAGAAAGGAATTGCAAATCATCAAAACATGTAGATATTATATCAAATGTATAACGCTTTTATATGGACTGATGAATTTAGTTTTATTTATTTGCATGCTATTAGAAGAAAATTGCATTAAGTCTTTTGGTATTATGAAAAACGTAAAATTCTAAAATGAATTTGCTATTTCAATTTTACAGACTAATAAAAAGCGTACCATCCACACACATACAGAAAAATAAAATAACCTAAACAATTAAGTAGTAACAACTAAGTGCCCAATATGTTCAGTGAATTCCTCAACATATTTTTGTCAAAGATACAAATACTAAGTGATTTCAAGATTGCTGGAGTATGATATTACAATTGTACTAAATACAGAAAAATTCTAATTGTAAATACTAACGTCTAGAAACAAAATGCACTCACTAGGATGAGGCTGGCAAAAGTTTGAATAGCCAGACAAAGTATGATTTGTAACAAAAGTTTGATAGAGTAATTGTGTACACATTATGCTTACACAAGCACATAACAGTTGCAAGTGTATTAAAAATTGCCACAGAAATGGTCAAATTGTGTGTAAAAATATCCAAACCTCTAAGTTGCACATTTTCATAGTCCTAGGCTTGGATATTTATTGTTTCTCTTCTTAAAAAAAAGTTCAAAATACGATTGGTTACTTGATCGTTTACTGTCAGCAAAGGTGGTGAGACCTAGCTGACATTATTTGTCAGTGCCACTTTGCTTTCTGAGCAAATATGTCAGCTCTAAGATTTTGAGCAAAGCAAATACCAAGGATCTGAAAAAGAAGCATTAAATTAAATAAGAAAGTTTCAATTGATAGAATGAGACATCTACTTCCAATAAAGATAATTATACTTTTAATGTTGCCATACTTAACAATAGTCTTTATTAATAAAAAAAAAATAATTCTCAATAAATCTTCTCTTGTTAAGGATGAGTATGCCTCTGTATTTAAGAAAAAATATCTTTAAATTTGAAAAAAAAAAAAATAAATAAATAAATAAATAAAATAAAAAATAATGTTAGCTTTTGCAGGGTTGCCACAGAAAAAAAAATTAACAAAATAGTTGTTGCAATAGCCTGAAGCATGAAAATAGTTGCTGAAAATTCCGAATGCCTAAATAAGAACAAAAGTTCATCAAAAATATTACTACATTGTCATATACCATGATTCATTTAGTCAAATTGGTGGCAAATATGATAATTTTTATATAAGCTTTAGTGTTCTAGCATTAAGTTTTTAAAAGAAAAAAATTAGTATGCTTGCAGAAAATTAAATACTTTTAAAAAAAAAAAAAACTTTTTTCATTATAAAAAAAAACATACTTTTTCTAAAATTTTTTTTCCTTTCATCAGTAATTGATTTAGCAAGTTTATATATGTATATTGTGAAAAGTGATACTCAAATTTGAAATTCCTGCATCGTAACAATGTATTAAAAATTGGGTTTTTAAAAATCATACCGAATTTTGTAGCAATAACCATTGAAAAGGCGATCAAATAACTAAATAGATTTAAAATGGAATCTGTGTAAATCGAACGAATTTAAAAGTAAAATTTGCAATTCAAAATTTTCAAAAGTTTTTATTTTTTAAGAAACAAATTTCAGTGTGTTCATAAGCTCTCGCGGGCCGCAGACCAATTTATGCTAAAAAAAAACATCGCTAGGAGTACAGAAAAGTCTCCCAATAGTCTCTTTTTCCTGAAAATAGTTGCTTTTTTTAGCCTCTTCAGGCAAAAAAAGTTGCATTTTAATTGTATGCGGCAACCCTGCTCTTGGTTTTAATGATGCAATTTTTTGTGATAGAAAATAATTTTATTCGTAATGAGGATGAAAAAAAAAAGATGGTGGAAAAAGCTAGAGGACTTCTTAAACTGTCAATAAGATTTTTTAATAACTTATTTAATTAATACAATTACATTTTTACGTATAATTTACAGGTGAACTGTACCTTTCACCTTTAATATGTAGATGAAATTTAAAAAGACAGAATAAATGAAGATGGTGAAGAATGTGATGCTGAAAATAAAATAACGTATGTAGATGCATTCGTGTCTGCAGTAGAGTCTCGATAATTCAAGGTGGCATCGAGCTTTCAGAAACTCAAATTATTGAAAATGTATTTTATTTAAAGAAAATTTACTTATATTAGATGATCAGGGGACATTTACTACATCAAACCAAGTTACAATATTCACTATATTAAATTAATGGTACTTTAAAATATTTGTCTAATGTTTTTTGTTTAAACTATCTATTTATATATTTCAGAGTTGAACACACAATATCATTTTTCAACATTCAGCCTTAGTAATCCTCGTAAAATTAATTGTAGTAATTGTTCTACGTGTTATGTGCGCTTGTCATTATTTGGGAGCAATACTGACTTTTCTTTAAAACCTTGGCTTAAACGGAAACTTGAACAATCGAGACTCAAATGTATATACATTTCTATATACCAATTTCATACTATATATTCTATTTGCATCTATATACCTTCGTATATAAATGCATTTGCTGATATTGATGATTATTTCATCAAATATTAAAGACGCCTTTTTTAAAATTCTTTTAAAGCTTGAAAAAATTATTAAAAATGAAACCACAATTCATTAAATTTGATTTCATTTTTGTACCATTCTTATTTTACTACATTTTTGTGTTGAATTTTTAAAAATTTTTTTAATTTTCACAAATTATGTCTAAATTTTCACAAAATAGGTACCTCCTAAAAAAACCTAGACAGACCCCCTGATTTTGTCATAATTTCTGCCAGCTATTTTAATTAGAGGTTATGCACAGAGGTTTTTCTTTTTATAGAACGGAATAGCATTATATTAGTCTAGTTTGAATAGGACTAGTTGGCCTAGTATCGGTATTTCTTTTCTACCATGGACAAAGAGCGCAAACAAACATTATCTCCTCAAAAAGTATATGAACTTTTCATACTTTGCACAGTAAAATATAGTTCTCTAAGATCAAAATAGAAATTAATTTCATTTTTCATTACAAATTACTTTTTCAAGCTTTGGCGCTTCATGGGTTAAATAGGTGTTTTTTATTTTGGGATCAAGGATTTTCACTCGATAATATATTAATATTCAATGAACAGTGACTACTATTTCTCAAAAGAAAAAAAGAAGTTTTCACTTAGAATGTATTTTGCTGTACAGTTTTGTTTCATAACACATTTGTAAAGTGGTACTTGATACAACATCAGAAGATGCAAGCTTCATTTTAGGAATGATAACAGCCTAGTATAAGTCAGAGCTCCCAACAAGTTGTCTCTTGATCTATCAGCAATAGATTATTTATCTATTGAGGTCCAAAATTAAAAAAAATTTTTAGCTCTAAAGATGGCTTAAAGTACTTTTCCTTTTTTCAAAAAATGCAATTTAAAACAAAGGCTAGCATTAACGTTCTAAAAAGTAAAACAGTTTTTATTAAGGTACAAGATATGCGGATATAAGTTAAAAATTCTTCATAGAATAAAATGGACACTTAATATTTGAGAAGAGTATAAAAATAAAAACAATTAAATTGTATTTAAAAATGCTCAGTGTATAAACTAAAACATGTTAAAAACAACAATAAGATGTAAAAATGATGAAGTGTCATTAAAAATTTGTTTTTTAAACTTCTCAGGAGCATATTATAAAAGTTTTAAGTACAAAGATATTATTCATTTTCAAGTCTACAAATTAAAATAAAACTGCACACATTTTCTATTTAAATCGTCTAGGAAAAAATTTAAAACTTTTTCACATTAATATTAACACTATTTGCATAAAAGTAAGCAAATACACACATTTTTACATAAATTTTCATTTATTACATAAATTTTCATTTATTATATAAATTTTCATTTATTATATAATTCATGCATTGATTATATGTAGTATATTGTAGGCGTCTTGAAAATAGGGAAGTAATATTTTTATTTTAATCCTGAATGCAATGAACAAAATGTGCTTACTTTAGTGATAAGGAGCCAAATATATAATGATACAGTTGACAATTAACAAATTCATTTTACTGAATTGCACAGAGGACTTATTTTTTAAAAATAAATGCAGCTGATTCATTGAATTCAGTGGTTGGAAATAGCGCACTAGAAACTAATGTAGTCGCTACTTTTTTCCGTAGTTAGTAGTGCAGTGGGCTATTTTTTAAAAAAAGTACTGTAGTGAGTAGTGGAATAAAAAAAAAACAGTATTTTGTAGCAATTCCTGGCAACTACTTTTAACGTTAGTTTAGAATAGTAACATGGCTCTAATGTAACTAATTTTTCGAATTTTATGGGTACAAATCTTCACTGTTCTATCAATGGATGCAATGAAAATGGCCCAATGGCTGCAGCTAAACGTTAATAGAAATTATGTATATAAAATCACGTATAAATAGTCCATAAACTGGCCACTATAAAAAATAGATAAATAATCACTTCGGTCACACTTTCACATGAGAATGCAGACCCTTGAAAGATTGATGTTATTTCAAAGGAAGGGAGCATATTTCAGATTTATTTAATTTCTTAGAGGAAATATATTCACGAACGAAAAAGGCATAAGAAGTTGAATGAACAAATTCAGAATTTTTCTTCTTTTTCGGAATAACAACTGACCCATGTAAATATGAATAACGAATACTTAATTCTCTTCTATTTCATGTAAACTAATTTCTGATTTAAAACCATTTTGAACAAAGGATTAAATTAAAGTTCTCCAGCAAAGTTCGTCACCTTAAAAGTAGTTACTAGTGAATTAGTTACTAATTCCAAAGCAGTTTGTAGTCACTACATTTAAAAAAAAAGTAGCTATAGTTATAGTAAACTACAAAAATAATGAAGTTCTTCCGATCACTGATTGAATTTAATGATGCTTTGCTGTAAACATGATTGATTAGCAAAAAATTTAAAACACTTTCTTTTTTTTGAACAGAGACAGTTCTAAAAAAGTTGATATAATCCATGTTAATTTCAAACATGAATTCCTTTTTATTGAATTTACATACCTGAGCAAAGGCAACAGCTAAAACAAATCCAGCTAATGGTAAAAGATTCTTTTCGGCCCAGTCCTCGCCTGCTCTTAAGCAACCCTTTTCAAATATCACACGAGATCTGTCCCGTTCCTGAAGATATTATTCACTCTCATAACAATCAATTTCATTTTGACTTACTACCCACAAACATTGTAACTGATTACTACGAAAAGCAAAAGTAATCTCCTATCATTGTAAAGAAAGCCCAAAGCTTTGTCAGAGAAAAAAAAGTGATTTAAAACAAGAACCATAGTGATAACTTGTTAATTTCAGTGTTATTGTTAGTGAAGTGATAATGAAAGAAAAGTTAGTGGTTGTGTTAAGTGCGCTACCTGTAATACAGCAACACCAACAGAAACTCCCGCCACCGGCACAAGGTTAGCTTCTATCCATTCTTCGCCAGCACGTAAGCAGCCTTTCTCATAAATTACAGTAGACTTATCACCAGTCTAGCAGCACCAAAAAATCAATTATTATTTTAACATTCTATTATCAGAGCAGAAATAAAGAGAACAATCTTTTTAAATTTTATTTATAGTGAAGACACATTTCTAAAATATGCACAGGAAAGTTTTGTAAAAATTTTTAGTAAAACAAAAACTTAAAATTTTTGGAAATTGCACTTTTAATAATACAAAAAATATTTTTTAATTGATTATGAAATAGTAACTTTTTTAAAGCTTTAATAGATCACAATATAAATTAAATTTATGAAAATAGATTAAGAAAATTCAATGTTGAAAAAATAAGAATTTTTGTTTTTGGATACTTAGCTTTATTAACGAAATTTTTAATCAACTGAAGTTATACTCATAATTAGAAAAATAAATATAAGAGATGCAATTAAAATAATAAACTATACAGTCAATGCACATATTTTTAAGCATAAAAATCAAATAATCAATCTATTGTTGAATTTATGTCGAATTAAACCAGTATTTCAAATGAACAATGAAATATGCAAAATATAATGCATACAAAAAGTTTAAAACTGAAAATTTTACACATTAATATGTTGAATTTTACATGCTTTGACTGCAAAGAGAACTTTAACAACTTTCAATCAATACTGAGAAGAATTTTTTCTCTCTTGAAATTGTGATTATTATATATAAAAAATGCTGGAAAGTAGTTTAACTTTTCACTGACTTTTTATTATTCCAGAGATTTTTCCAAAAGGAATAAAAATAGAAATTAATTTAAAAAGATCATTCTCCAGTCTTAAAGAAAATATAATAACAGTAAAAAGAGCAAGTATATTAACAATATGACAGAATTTAAAACAAACATTGGATCAAAAAATATAGATACATTTTACAACATTCAAAGTATACTTTTAAAATAAAAGACAATGAGTACAAATCTCAAGGATTCCAACTATTGTATAAATAAACAAAAATAAGAACCTCTAGAAAAAATTTTAAAGTTACAGATTTTCTTAAAAAATATTTCTTAGTTAATGCCAGAAAATTTGTATGATTATTGTTTTGAATGATTTCTTGTTCACAAAAATGTTAGCTTCATTTGCAATTTAGTTAATGTTTTATTCAAAAAATAGTTTGCAATAATCAATCTATAAATGAGAAATCATGTTTATATACATAAAAACTTTCAGCGAGTGTTGTAACAAATTATAATTTTATCTCCCTTTATGTGGATAAGCAATTAATCTCTTAAATAAACTTAAGAAATGCTATTACAAAATGGCTAAAAGAATTTAAAAAAAAAAATAAATAAATAAAAAAAAAAATTAACTCATTTTCTTCAGACTGATTTTATCAACTGATGGCATTAATTGTATTGTTAACTTTTCAGTTGTTTTATTCCTATACATTAAATATATTACAAAAAATACTTTTACTAGTTCTTGAATTTAAAAATAATTTTTAAAATATCATTACAAAAAAATTGAATGAACATATTTAATGAAAAGGATCTAGGAGGAAAACAGTAATAAATAAAAATAAACTATACATAAGTTTATTTTATGCTGATGCTAAGTATGTCAAATCAAAGAGTAACATGTAGTCATTGTAAGAGACATTTGTTGTTAGTCAAAAGAAACGTCTAAAATAAAATACTGTTTTCTTACTGCTAATTTCTTTTAAAAATTTATTTTAATGGTAAAAATTAGAAAAATTGAGTCTAATATAAAAATAGTTAAAATATAAGTAGAAGAGAGTTATATACATTTTAGAGATTGTTTCTACGTTTTTATCAGCATATTTCTTATAACTGAACAAATAACATTTCCTGTTGTTTTTAAAAGTTGCTAATATATCAGTTTATTTTAAAATGATATTGATAATTCCAGGAGTAATGCGATAATTGAAAAGACAATAACTTGTTTGGTTTTAGCATTTAAAAGATAACATTTAAGAAGTTACAGACATTTAAACATTTAAAACATGTTTAAAATCAAAAAGCTGAAAATGAGTAGTAGGGAAATAACAGTAAAGGTTATTCATAAAATGATTAAATAAAGAATAAGAGGAATTAACTTACATAATCTTGTTTTCTTACATCATAACCACATTGCTTGTTTTTAATAACTTCCTGAAAAATAATTTTAAAACATTAAAAGCTGCCGAAAACAGGAAAAAAATCAAATCTCTACTTTCTTCATTAATTCTTATTATTTCTGCATTACATCAACCTAAACAATAATACACCCACCAACTTTTAATCTTTCAGACGATGATTTTCCTCAGTGCCTTATTAAGCCATATATTAATATATTGACATAAATCATTTGTACATTAGTATTAAGTGATGGTCAAAATCAGTTTAAAATAAATTTATACATTTAAGAAATAAAAAATAAAACTCAGATTTTTTTTTTTTGGCGTTAGTTTTAAAAATAAACTAGAACAAAAAGATCCTGGAAATATTTGATAGTTTGGTTAAAGCGGAAACACGGATAATCGGGACTCTACTGTATTTGTTTAATATTGTAATATTAAATAATTTGTTCACATAATCATAAATACTAGTCAAAATAATTGTCATTGTTATTTCATTTCCTTTACCCACAGGACCTATTTTATAATTAACTCCACGTAAGTTAATGTCATTATATACCAGTTTTAAATCTTTAACTGAAGATGCATAATACAAATCTATCATGGGTATAATGAAAACACTAAACATATTTTTCAATAAAAAAAATATGATGAAGTTAAATAATTTTTCAGGGAACATACATTTGGTTGTGGCTTGCAGCAAGAAAATGGTACTCCACATGCTTCTCTGCTACCCACATCAATACTCGAACAATTGAAGTAGACATTCATATCCCAATCTTTGGGGCCTTCAATACCACAACACTCCAACTAAAATAGTAATAAAATAAAGAATTAAGCATTTCACAATTTATCCAAACACGCTAATAAATTACATTAATCTAAAAGTTTGTATAATATGAACAATAATTATTAATAAAAATAAAATATTTTGGGAGCAAATTAATAATTTAACATACTAAATACATGAATAAAAGATATACTAATTTATAAGCCTTAAAATGTTCTTGATTTTTAAAGTACAGTAGATGGTATAAAATATTAATTCAGTCATTTAAAATTGTTTATATATACATATATGATATAACTTACCCATTGTTCTTGAATCCAATCAATTAAATTTTGTCGATCTGGATCTTCTCTGTAATGTACAATAAAAGCTTGGAAGCCATTTGTAGCTTGATTTTTGATCTGGAAACAACAAAAAGTTTATTCTTATTCAACTATACAAAATTTTTTTCTTTTACTAAATCTTTAAATTTTGCAAATCTCCGTAGAAGAGTTGAAACGGAATAAAAGAAAGTTCCAAATGCTTTTGGCAACAGATAGTTAACGAGTAACCAATGCAAGCAAATTAAAATGGCAAGAATGAGCACACTTAACCAAATTTTTTTAAAAATCAAAGATTTTTTAAAATATATTTTTATTTCTATAAAACTCAATATTGATTCATACCACAAAGATAAGTTTTGCAAAAAACCAAAAATGTTGTGTGCAAAAACACTTTGAAATAGTTAAAAAAATACCAGAAATTTGGGCAAGAAAAAAATATGTAGGGAGCATTTATCCACAGAATGTTATTAATGTTTTAATAAAAAAAATGCAAGATTTCATTTATTTAAATTGTGTGAATATGATTAATTTTTTATTGATTGTGTGATTCTTAAATCACATGAATACAAATTTCAATATCATATTTTAAAATCCTATATATCCGAATCTTAGTGTTTGATTTTAAAATTGTGTAAGCATGATTATCGATGTTTCATTTTGAAATCGTGTGAATATGAATTCTGATGCATAATTTTCAAGTAACTTGGACACGAATCATAGCAGTGGCTTTTAAATTGTGTGAAAATGAATCTTATATTTGATGTAAAATCGGAAAACATTAAACATGTGCGATCATAAATCTCGTAAATAGGAATTGTGCTGTAAGATATTCAATCATGAATGTTATTTTTAGTCACGTTTGCATAGGCAGGAAAAAGCGTAAAAAATAAATTTTTTTTCTTCCCTCAATTAATTTGAAAAAGGTGCACTTTGTTTTGAAAAGGCAGATTTTTTTTAGTTAAATTGAAAAAAAAAAACTCTTCCCTAACACTAGCATCCTTGAAAGTCAAATGTAACGACGTAATAGTGGAAAAAGTTAAACTGAGAAATTTTTTTCCACATCAATCTCTGACAGATTGACCAGCTTGTTCAGATAAGGGAATTTTGATCCCTTTGCTTTCTTTTTTAGTAATGCTAAAAAAATTTCTGCCATGGTGACAAATTTTCTGCAAACAGCAATTGTGTATATTATACATACTTATGTAAGAGCAATTATATCACAGCAACATACATTTTTTATAATCACATGATAACCACATTAAGAATTTATCTAAAATGGTGGCAGTATAGTATGCACATACATGAGTAGCCTTTGGGCAATCATTAAGAATGTATCTCTGACTACAAATAATAACCCATTAGCATAACTAAAGCATAAACCTAACAAAAACCCAGGTAATACAAACCTCTAAGCCAATGAGTATTAAGCTCTAAGACAATAAGAGCGATAAGTATAATGAAGATTATATTGATAATAAAACCTTACCCAGTCTTTGAAAATAAATCCGAGAGTACCAGCAGTCATTTCCAAAAGAAGTAATATGGCTAAAAATATGGCATACTGAAATTATAAAAATCAAAAATCATACTTTTGTTTTTCATAATTATAAATAAAATCACAATTACAAAAATAAAACAATAATAAATAAGTAACAAAAATTTGATAAGTTGACAAAGTTATTCAATATTAAAATTTATGCCACCAACTAAGTACTCAGTCATTTTATCTATTCATGGAGAAAATTGAATTTCTTACAGGAGGCTCATTAGTGATAAAATTAGTCCCAAATTTTTTATAAGGATAATTCTAACAATCACTTAAAATAAATTCGAACTTTGTCTTTATTATATGTATTATATATTAGGGGGACCGGAAAGTAATGTCGTTTTGGCGTATTAAATATTTGTTAAGTCTTAAAAAGCAATTCATTTTTTTTTAAATACGGCATTGAAAGGTTGTTGCTAACGAGCATGAATACATTATTGATTAAAAATAAAATCTTGATAACAAATATCAAATGCACCAAAATGGCATTACTTTCCGGTCCCCCGAATAGTAGAAGATTGTTATAACTTAATTCTACAGAACACAACTCCTATAAACAGCACTAATTTTGCATGTGTGGACAATGAAAATTGCAGTTAAGACATTTCTGTAGTTGACCAAGAAATGTAACATGTTCACAGGCAGCAAAAAGGTTATTTGTTAAGAACTTACTATCTCTAAAGAACATCAAAATTCAAAAAATTGGTTTGTTATTCATGATGCTTTTGATAGTTAAAATTCTTTCAATGAGAAATATTTCTGTGCATATTTTTGTGTTTTAAAGTATTTGTATTCGAAAATTATAATAAAACATTTATAATGAACTGTTTCAAATGCATATTACTATGCTCAGTACGCATATTTATTGATTTGTAAAAAGATTTGCATAATACAAAATTCTATATAATACAATACTTTTCCTTTAAAGAATGCATTATAAAAATTTGCTACTGTAAATGCATAATGTTTGCAGATCTGAGTTGTTTTACATGTATTGCAACAAAAAATTTATCATCCTCAGTTCTCATTTAGTTCTACTACATCCAACAAGTTCTAATAATTATAGAACTAATGAGATAAACATTAGATCAAGACTTGCTTTGATATCATGGTCTTTAAAAAAATTAGGATCAATTACAAATAAATTTTTCAAGAGATTTAGTTTGCTTTCAAATTGACACAGAGAAGAAGTGCAAAAAATTAAAGTTGCGGCAGTCGAGCCCGAGTTCCCATCATACTAAATGAACTTCTAACTTTCACTTGCTGTGATGTAGGTGTTATAAACATTGTCTCTTCAGCTTATCACAGATGCACTTAACTAAATGTAATTTATAAATATCGATTATTATGTAAATATTAAATGATTTCTTTCATTCGTTAATTAGTGTTAATTATTTATTTTTACTAGTTATTGAAATTATAATGAATGCTAATAAGTTTCATGCAAAATTGTAGCACTAGCATGTCCAGTCTTAGCAAGACAGCTCAAAATAGATAATTTTTGAAACAATTGATGCAACTTGTACAAGTGTTGTTAAAGGTTCTAATGTAAGCTTTAATTACTTTAATGGAGCTGCGGTTTAAAAATTGCTTTGGAGAAAACAAAAACTGCTTTTTTTTTCGCCTAAGCTACAAAAGAACAGCATGCATCACTGTGTGGTCAAAGGCACTTTTGCACAAATGCTATATATGTTTATAGAAATACATTTTCTCTAAAAATGTAGAATAATTACACATAAAATAAAGAATTTTTAAAGTCCTAATTATTAATTTTTTTTAAAGAAAAAAACATGCGACACAACCTATAGGGCAATTAAATACAGATTTAAAACTCCTTATAAATAATTAACTTTAATAGACACCATAGTAATTATTTATAATAGTTAAGAAGATATTTAATGTTTAAAACCAACTTCTTCTGACTCGAAAAAATGCATTGAGCAATAAGACAGCAATTTAATTAGAGACAATTAATTACAAATCAAATAAATTTGAGTTCTTAAAATTATTTAGTATAATTTAAAATAAAATTTTTACGACTCGCAAATTTTTTTTAAAGTAATCAGATAGCAACTCAATTGAAGACAAATAATTACAAATAAAATAATGTTAAGTCATGAAATAGGAAAAACTTTTTTAGTTAAAGCTGTTCATTTATGATTACTGTAAGTCAGTGTTTCCCAAAGTGTGGTACACCTACCCCCAGGGGTACAGGAACAGTTTAGTGGGGGTACATATTCTTATGCGAAATATCTTGCAACAAACGAAAATTTCAAATTTTTATTTTAAAACAAAGCTAGCCATGAAAATTTACGATTATGTACGTTTCTATTGGCTATTTTTTTGCAGAGTTAACAGTTAATAATTAGTGGTGTCAACAGTCAGTTGTGATTTTTAACTTTCGTGCAATTTTTTTATAGTAAAAAAAGCATTCATTTTTCTTATTAGTGGTACACAGCGTTACGAAAATTTTAGAAAAGGTACACAAAAGTCACAAGCTTGGGAAACACTTCTATAAGTGATTGTGTTGATAAGAAACATCATATAAACAAACATCAATTCAAGATAAAGGATGATAGGAGATAATCCTAAAAATATATTTTAATGCTTATTCTATTTCATACAACAAAATGTAAAAGTGTGATAAATACTTACTGAGGCAAGGAGGCAAGTGTTTTCTCGTAGAGCTCCAACACAACCCGTAAATCCTATAGTAAACGTAATGACTCCACACACAATGAACACAAATGCTGGATCTAAGGTAATGTTTGTCAATCTACTGAGATTGTTGAAAATATCTTTCTCTGTCCATGCCCATATTCCAACAACAAAGATGCACAACCCTAGCAGCTGGAACAGAAAACATTAATCATTTTAAAAGAATATTTTTAACAAAAATGTTAAATTTAGTTCATCAACATTACAAAAATGATCTAGTTCTAAGGTTATTCTAGTCGATCAATAAAACAGTAATGATTTAAGATAATTTAAATCAATCTATTGAAATAGTTAAAAATATATTTCTTAGTTATTTTAGATGTTTAATTTTCCCATATATCAACAACTATATCATCAATAAACACATAAAATTACTTCATGCTCATTTGAAATTTTAGTCCTTTCATACTCATATTCCAACAACAAAAATGCAGCTATTGGTTATGAATAAAACATTAACAATTATTACGGTCAAAAGTATATTTCAATAATAAAAATTATTTAAAACAGAAAATACATGTAATATCAAAAACAGATTTAAATAAATTAGTCAGGAATTACTTGTCATTGATTAATCAAGAATTATCCTATTAGTATATAATGAATTTCTTGTTACTTTATGAATTTATTTTTTAAAAACAAAAGTAAAAATAAGTAAAAAAACTAAAACATGATCTACAAGTTGACACCTCCTAAAATATTAAGTTTCTTAATCTTTTTAAATACTGTGAAATAAGTGAGTAATAGTTCTTGGATTGGCATATAATAAAGTTACACAGAATTTTATCTAATAACTAACTTGTAAAATCACAATAATTATTTGTTGAAAACATATCCATCCAATCTTCTGGAAATACAGTATAATCCTGTGAAACTTCAAGAATAAGACAATTTCTTAGAGACTGGTTTCTGAGACATTAGTCGAAAATCACAATTATGGTGCTGTTACATAAAATTCAAACATCCACTAAATTCAAATTACTATTTGCACATTTTAGAATAACCTACCACTGGGAGCTAAAAGTTCCTCAAATTATATTGTTCAGGGATGAGATTGACCAAAAGGCAAAAAAGCTGAATTTTCACGCGGGTCAATCTCACATGATTTATAGCAAAAATATCAGTAACATATCCTCATCCAGTTTCGCTGATGTTGTAATTGCCTATATATAGCAATAATCGTCGATAGAAAAACTCTGCCACATTTATAGTAACTAATTCAAGAAAAAAACTTGCTTTTTACAAGAATCGCGATAAAGCATTTTAAAATCGAGTGAATACAAATGGCAATCTTAGAATTTAAAATTGTGTGAATATAAATCACCATATTGAAACTTGATATTGGATTTCAAAATGTGAAAATACAAATCATGATGTACAATTTTCAGATTGCGTTACTATGAATTATGATGCATAATTTCTTAATGGCGTGAATACGAATTCAAAGCCTAATTTTTAAATCACATGCAAATACGAAAATAGGTGTTGGATATTATAACCACAAAGATGAATTACGACATTGGATAAACTTGCGTAAATTTGAATCATTACATAGAATTTTAAAAACGTCTCAATACAAATAGCATAATTGGATTTTTAAATCTCGTAAATAAGAATTGCAATGAAAGATATGGAAATCGCGTGAATAAGAATCGCAACACTCAACTTTAAAATCAGGTAAATATGAAAATCGATGCTTGATAATAAAATGCAGCGACGTCTGGATTACGAAAATATGAGCTATCTAGTGGACGGGTAAAAATGAGGATATTTTCTGCTCGTAAAAGCTAAAATAGGTAGATTTGTGAAAGGGTTGGCAGCTACGTAGTTTGAGTTTTCTATATATCTTTCGACATATTATATCTACATATGAAATCGGAAATAAATATAATTATTTTATTTCAAGGGCTGAATTTTTAGAAAATTCGGATTCTTAAAAAAAAAAAAACTTTTAGAGAATCGGAAATTCTGCTAAAAGGGCTGAAATTCGAGAGACAAAAGTGAAAAAGGCGGATATCTGCTAAAAAGCGAAAAAATCTCATCCCTGATTGTTGAAGTATTGAAAATAATTCACATTTTTTGTGAAAATAATGGCTAGCAAAAATTTTAATCTGGATAATATATTTAGAAAAGAAATTTCATGCTCTGATTCTGATCCACTACATATTTCATAATAGTACAATAGATTTCTTACAACAAAATTGAATTGAATTGTTTATTTTAAATATGCATTAATAAGAAAAATCCAAAGTTATTAATTTTGATATCTATTATAAATGTCCAAAAAGTTTACAACTTGCAACCTGGAAATTTGATTACTAGGTCCAACAGAACATATTTAAGTGAACAAAATATAAATTAGTACTTCCATAATAAGAATATCTTTTCTATCTCGAAAATTATTAAAAGTTAGTCATGTATACATGTTACTATGAATGATCGGAATTGGTGGTTGATGACTTCCACCGGTGAATGTTGACAATGACCCCTGTGGCAGAATTTTTTCGAGCTATCTGCGACAAAACACTCTATCACTATTATCTTTCTCCAAGATACTTTTAATAATAACAAACATATATGTGACAAATTTAAAGTAATAGAAGCGCTGTAAAACTATATAATTTTTTTTAATAAAACATGTGATAATTTTTTATTCTAATATTATGTGTGATATTCTTGCATTTTGTGGGGGGGACACAAAGTATTTCTTTCTCCACATTTTGTAAATAATTACCACAGTAAAATATAAAATAAAAAATCATGAAATCCGTAGTAGTAATTGCCGAAAAAAAGATAGACAGCAAAATTACGCGAATCGGGTTCCTCAAATGCGTGTTTCGTTTTGAGATTACGTTGTTGTAATAAAAATAATATCGCATAAAAATATCGGATTAAAAACCTATGGAGAAATCAATAGCAATAACTGCCATAAAATCTATAGAATTATTGCCTTAAAAAGCAAATACTCAAATGAACGATTCGAATTTTCCATATTGTTTGAAATATATCGGGATATTTAAAATCCGCATGAAAATCAACATCAATAACTGCCGAAAATACAATCGAAACATGACATCGATTTATGATACTATCGTCGTAAATTAGGAGCGTGAAAAAGTGATTATCTAAATGCATGATTCAAATATTATGTGTAAATTTCTATAAGAAAGAAAAATGGCTAATTTTTTTTTTTTAAAAACTTTTCAAAATGAAAATAATCTTTCTGCAAGAGCTCTGTAATGTTCTGCGACAATGTCGCCGTGTCGCAGCTATTCTGCCACGGGGACAATGACATAGTCGCTTTGGTAAATGTTCGAAATATATACTAGAACTAGTTAAGTGCCACTGGCCGGTATACCCAAAATCAATGTTTTTTAAAGGTCAGGTGCCAATGCCCAGTATGCATTTAACTGATACTCCGAACAGTGATGCTTCTCCTAATCTATTCTCAGCAGATATTAAAATATTGAATAAATATAATACTATTAACGAATAAATTAATATCAAATCGGATATAACAAATATTTCCGACATTCATCAAAGCGACTATGTGATTGTTGACATTATCCGGAGAAAGTCAACATTCTCTTGATTTTGGTCACTAACGGTAATATATTTATACATATTAAGTCTGATACAAATTACGTCATATAATTATAAATCGATGAAGCGGTCATGACAAAAAAAAGCTGAGTAAAATTTTTAAAAAATTGCATTATCACTGAAGCATTGTGTTTGTGATAATAAACAAAGTACAATTATATAACTATTATAATGAATGATTGTACATTATTTGTATTATGTAGGTACATCACGACTCACTGTATCTTGAACAAGTTTTGCCTCATTAACACGAAATGGGCGGGACTATAATACTTATTTCATGTTAACCGAATTTTGTTTTATCAAATACATCATGAAAACAATTTAGTATGCATAATTAATGCATGTTATGTACTACATTTATGTATGCTAACAATGCTATTATGAACCAAACAAATTAAAATAAGCTTAAAAGTTTTAACTACTTTATTAAACTATTTTATTTATTTGCCTATCAAACAAAGGAAGAAAATAGAAATAGCATTCCTCAAAATGAATGATTGAGATTTTATTTACATGCTTATTATTTGTGCAGTGTCCAGGTTTTCTTTAATGTTAAGGGATAAAATTTCCCATTAAACATAATAGTAATTGATTGCTGATTCATGGGACCAAACATATGTTTCGTGTAAAGCGATATTTCACGCTAAGTAGTTTTGTGTTAACTGTAGTAACATAGAAAACTGCGATTCTCAATGTTTAAGTTATATTTCAGAATTAGGAATTTTTGTTTTGTTTCTCCTTTGATTTTCTTTATTAACTTTTCTTTCTAACAGCATTTTTATTATGATAGCATTTTTTAAAGAGATTTTCTAATGAACGTTATTCTTTTAAGGTCTTTTTTTTCTAAAAATATGCCAATGTGAAAAAGTGAAATTAAGGTTTTTAGCGTGAATTCTCTTTCGTTTAAAATTAAGAGCGATTTTTGTTCTAATGTCGTTTCAAGAATTAAGAGGATATTTTCTCACTAACAATGCAATTTAATTTTTTTAACAGCTATTAGTCAGTTTTTTCCCCCTTTATCCTATACCAATAAATTCCGCTAAGTTTTGATTATTTTTCAATACTGACTAAACTTATTTCTAAATAAAAAATATATTTATTAATAATTTTTTTTAATATATATGCTGCTATTCAGTATTTAGTCGAATTTTTTGGCCGAATATTCGGTATTTAGCCAAATCACTATTCGTTACATCCTACTATGTAAACATTGAGGTTGCATATTAATATGGAAACTCTTCAAAAATTTCTATTTTTGATTCAGATATCTGAATTTTAAGAGCGTTTGCATAAAAAAGAAAAATACTAATTAATTATTTAACAAAAACCTTACTAATTAATTTAATTTTTCTCAAATGCATATTACTTTTCCAGCATTATAAATAGAGGATAAAAATTGCATGCCATGCAGTATGCCTAGATTAATGGAAAAGAATCATTACCCTAAAAAGATTTATTTGAAATGATTAAGTTCTGAGAAATACTCATAAAAAAAGTTTAATCAATATATCTTTAAAAGCAATAGGTATTACTAATGATTTATTAATTAAACAAAACAGACTATTTTTGTACATTAAAGTAAAAAATAAACCACTTTCAATAAATTATTTTGAAGTCTAAATACAAATAGCAATTCAGTAAAATAACACAAAATACCATAATATTTGAGTACAAATAGATCATATTTTTGACCTAGCTAGCAATGATAATTGTAAACAGTGAAAAATCTATAAGTAATAATAGTTATTAAAAAAATTAATTAAAGAAATACTTTCTCAGTTTTTATGCGAAAAAATAACTTTTCGTTGCAAATAAGAGCACACAAAACAAATCACAGTAAGACATTCGACAATGGTAAACAAAACAGGCATACCCAAAATATTACGTTGAAACCAAAAATTAAATATTTTAGGCAACAACTAATTTCACTTTTATCACGTCTATGTTTTCTTCCTGACATTCTTCCATCACTAAGATTTCTTAACTGCTGCAATTCTCGCGAATTAGACATTGGATCCTCAACCCAAAAGTGCATCGAATCGAAACATTTAATAAAAGCAGAAATCAAAGCAATCGGACTTCCAGTTCCAGTTGACTCACTTATCGAATAATGTTGCCAATTCTTAGAAGTCAAATTCAGAAAAGAAAATATGAATTGGTTGGCTGAAAGTGGAAAATGCAGTGCACTTTTTGCACGTGCGTTTTATATATTTAATACAGTCTTGTCCTTATCGTGCTTTGCTTTATAAGTTCTTGCCAAATTGAAAAACAGTGTGCACAAATTTGAGAAGGACATCACAAGAAGGACAGATACAGGTTTACGACGAGATTCAAACCACCCACTACCTTCATGCTACAGATTGGGGTGGTCCCACAGTGGACTGATCGTAAAGACACGGTTCCTAGTAGAACACCAAAGTTAAGCATCACTGGCTGAGATCAGTAAGCGGGTGATTAGCCTGCGTAAGGACCGAAGATGTGCGGTATCGGCACTCGTTAAACTGTTCTATAGTAAAGTCTCGACTTGGAATGTTATTCACGGCGACGCCAATAGCCCATCGTGCAACTCTAATATGATGTTAATAAACGTACCTGCCCTCAGATCGGCGTGACCACTCGGCCAGGGAGGACCCTGTATACGAAATTCAATAGTCTCTTTGAAGCTTATCATCATTTTTACACCAAATAAAATTTATTAGCCAATAGCAGCTTTCAAGCCAACAGTAAATATATTCCTCTTCCTAATTTAATTTTTATAGATCATCGGTTGTTGCTGCAGTTTATTTTCGTCGCACTATAGCTGCACAATGGGCTATATGCGACGGTCTGGGAAACGTCCCAGAGGATGATCCGATGACATGCCGTCACAATGTTGATCCTCTGCAGAGGGGATAGCACCCCTACTTCAGAAGCCCATTGACCTGCACGTGAAGTCGAGCACTTTATGGTAGAACAGTTTAACGAGAACCAATAATGCATGCTCTTGGTCCCCATGCAAACTAATCCAAGTGGTCATCCACCTGCACACTGACGGCAGCCAGTGATGCTTGACTTCGGTGATCTGGTGGGAACCGTGTCTTTACGATCAATCCACTGCGGGACTCTAGATCATCGGAGGCAAATATTAATGAAAGTGGTCAGTTAGCGGATGGATGACCACTTTGATCAGCCAGCTTAGGGATTGAGGGTAACTGTTCTATCTTCGTTAAACTGTTCTACCATAAAGTGATCGACCTCGCTCGAAATTTTTCTGGCTACCAAAGTGAGAGAACTGCTCCTTCTTCTGTGGATCAAAATTGATATAATAAATTTTCGATGCGACGTAAAGAACTACACGTACGTAAGAACTACACTACGTAAAGAACTAGTGCGACGTAAAGAACTACAACTACTTGTTGTACTCTAGACCATTCTCACTGGATGCAATTTTTTCGCATGCAAATGGGAACCGTTCCGTCAGGGATTAAATTTATTTTTATCACTTTCCGACTACCTACAGAGCAGCAATGAGAAACCGTAATAATTGGGCCCAATCTTGTTTATCATTATTATTTTTTAAGTACTAGGTCGTGGGTCACAAAGTCAGTGGCGCTATTTGGATGGTACCAATAATTTGAACAACACTGAAAATTAGTTAATGGAAAAATTTGACAGTTCTCCCTCTTCTTTTTTCGCTATTTAAAAATTCTTTTAAAATGGTTACTTTTTCCCCCTGCTTCTTTAACTTTGCTTTTCCAAGTGTCCAAGTATCACCATGACAGTACAAATTCGCAGCAAATGGCAAACTTTATGACTAACCAATATGTAGGTTCAATGATACGCGATAAAAACTGGTTGGCTAACAGTTATCATTCACTTTTTTTATATATTAATTTCGTTTTTAAATCCGGCAATTGATAATTATACTTTAATTTTCAATTGTTTAATTGCTTTTCTATGGTTAAATAAAAAAATAAGTGCTATTCAGCGGCACGCCATCACTGAGCAAGACGTACGTATTTTAAGTGCAATTTTGTGTTGGATGGCAAATATCTATTTCCTGCCAGCTACAGACAGAATTTATCTTCAAATAAAATTTATCATTAATTGAAGTCCCACAATTATCTGATTCTTAAGACACGATTCCACNTCGTCGCCAGTGTGCTGTCCCATAGCGTGGGGTTTTAGGAAATAACACTCTTATATCTAACAAGCACTATTTATTAATTAATTACAACATTTAGAATTTAGAATACAAAAGATGCGTCTTAACGCAACGCTAACAGATGAGGAATACAAACTGAAACTTTTAGAGGGAAAGTCCCAATTCGATTGCGTAGGCGTGATAGTTCGTAAACATAGCCTCGAACGGCTAAATACACGACACCATGACAGTACGAATTCGCTGCAAATGGCAAAGTTTATGACTAACCAATATGTAGGTTCAATGATATGCGATAAAAATTTGTTGGCTTACAGTTATCATTCATTTTTTTTATGTATAAATTTCTTTTATAAATTCGGCAATTGATAATTATACTTTAATTTTCAATTGTTTAATTGCTTTTCTATAAAAAAAAATAAGTGCTATTCAACGGCACGCCATCACTGAGCAAGACGTACGTATTTTAAGTGCAATTTTGTGTTGGACGGCAAATATCTATTTCCTGCCAGCTACAGGCAGAATTTATCTTCAAATAAAATTTATCATTAATTGAAGTCCCATAGTTATCTGATTCTTAAGACACGATTCCAAGCAGATCGCCGAAGTCAAGCATCACTGGCTGTGAGTGAGCGGGTGGGTGACCACTTGGATCAGTCTGTGAAGGGTCCGAGGGTGTGTGGTAATGTTCCTCCTTAAACTGTTCTGTCATAAAGTGCTCGACTTCGAGTGCAATTTGTTGGGTTACCAAAATGGGGGGGGGGCATCACTTCTGCAGAGGATCAAAATTGTGATGGCATGTCTTCGAATTATTCTCAGGGATGTTTCCTAGACTATCGTCAATATCCCATTGTCCAGCTCTAGTGGGACGTAAATGAACTACAACAACATTAATTGAAGTTTCGACCACTGTCTTGTCCCGCAGTGGACTGATCGTTAAGACACGGTTCCCACTACCGAAGCGGAGGTGCCATCCCCTCTGCAGAGGATCAAAATTGTGATGGCTTGTCTTCGGATCATCCTCAGGGATGTCTCCCAGACTGCCGCCAATAGCCCATTGTGCAGCTCTAGTGCGACGTAAATTAACAACCAACCGACCATTCTCTTACTTGCTAGATGCTGCAATTTCCACTGGAGTGACAATCTAAATTTTTTCCCCAAAAATATTCCTCAAAGCAAAATTTATTGCTAATTGAAATTTGCACCACTTTCTGACATCAACAAGCTAAAGCACAAAGCTAAGAAGAGGAAGACAATCCTATTTTTCATCACATCTAAAATGAAAAATTTAATAAATAATAAATACCATTAATTTAATAAATACCATAAATTACTATCGACACTGAATGTTACCCCCACGTGTCGAAAGTGATGCGTTTTTCGTTTTAAGTCTGAAAGGGGAGGGGAAGAAAAACAAATTCTTTTCTCTTTATTAGCACGTGAATAAAAAACGTAAGGTTAAAAAATTTTGTTTTATCATTTAAATATTTAACGGTTTATTGCAAATTTCTATTAAATTATTCATTTAGCTTCGTCTTGTCAACAAAAATAAATTAAGAGCTTTTGTGTATATACCAGACACATAAACATTCATGCTAGTGTCCTGAAATTTGGACAGAGGGCGAAAGGAGCGATTTCAGCTTACGATTCTAAAAACCATTCAATAATTCCGGGACTTCTAAAAAATTGTTCGGGAGAAACTCTTGTATAGTGGAATTTTCTAATTGGCTTAGAACTAGCCGTTATTATTAAACAAACTAAAGACTATTCTGATTTTTCAAATGTTTAAAAAATAACATTAGCGATATTTGCAATCTTAGAGCTTTATTCAGTCAAAAAAGGAGTTAATTGCATGTTCTTTAATCCTTAATTATTTTTAATTCGTTATGTCAAAGTTAAGGAATAAAGTGGATGATATGCGAGAGCTACTCCAACGAAGAATTAGTGTACCACTGTGTTTATCTTGTTTACGTGTTTATTTTGTTGCGTGTTTATTTTGTTTAAAGTAATACTTTTAAAATGTGTTTCTATAAGACTACTAGGGGGCAAAGCCCACTGTTCGCTACCGCTCACCAACCCCGATCATTGCTTCGCAATAATTGTTTTTTCTTGCAGGAAAACAGTTTTTCTACTAAAGTTAAAAATATTCACTTAGCATCTGAGTACTAAAAGGATTTGTGTTTACTTACGCTCTTGCGCCTCTACTTCCCACCTCCAAATATTACTATATTAGTATTATAAACATTTAGATCTCTTGGTGAACAGAAGTGATTTTTTAATTATCATTTTTTTAAAATAACATTTATATTCTTAATACATTATAGTGTTCAAACAAATTTGATGAGTTTACTACCATAATTTAATATTTTCACTAATAATAGCAGTATTGAAAAATAACTTTAAACTAGTGGGCTGCGCCCCCTCTATGTTTTCTTCCTGACAT